AGCGTCGAGCGTCATGTAAACATGCATGAGCTTCCAAAATTGCTAGATACACAGAGACAGCGGACGGGGGACACACGAAGAAAGTGCGCCCCCAAGTGGCGGGGGGAACAAGTCAAATCAATTGAAGCCAAGACGCAGCTGCACACAAGTGCAGACACAGACACAAACATGGACATTTCATTATCATTGTGTTTGCCAGCTGTGCGAGGGGGTGAGCAATACGATTAACCTACAAACGAAGGCAGCGCAGCAGGACAGCGGAGACAGCGGGGCAGACCAGATGTGTGCCGCTCGTAAAACGTCTGTGGCAAGTTCACATGCAACTGCAGCACACACACTTATTCATACGTGCCCCACGGACTTGTGGGTTTTACGAGCGACGCGTCGGCGTTGACAATCGTGAACAAGGTTTGCACTCTTTTGGCCAAAAGGCAAGCTCACACAGAAAGTGTGAGCTTTCTCTCTCTCTCTCTCTCTCTCTCTCTGACACTCACACGTACCACCCAACATCACTCCCCACTGTCATCCTCCCCAACCCCGCAGTGTAACTGGTTTGTTTGTGTTTAATTTGCGGTTCAACAGATGTTGACAATCGATGACAGGGCCCTGCAGCCCCTCCGGGACAACGCGCACAATCGGCACCTGCCCCGACTGCAGCTCCACACCAAAGCAGATCCCTCTTGCGCCTGATTAAGTTTTTGCATTAATTTTGCTGCACCCTCAATGATGTTCGCCCACAGAGCTGGTCCAGGTCCGGCTCTAGGTCCTTGCCTTGTCTCGCTTCTCCCTTGCCTTGTTTGCTTAGCCATTAGCCGAGGAAGCTGCCAGCAGCATGGCGGCTCTGTCTCTGGCTCTTTGAGGTTTACTGACCTTCTCCTCTCCACTGCTGCTGCCAGAGTTTGCCTTGCTGGCTTTTCACGCTTCAGCTGCAATCAGATTTATGGGTTTCCCCATCCCCCGCTGGAAACATCTTACTCTTCATCAGCCGCACAAAGTCGATTACGAAAATTTGCAACCTTTTCTTGATTGCGAGAGAGCGCTGAGGATTCGATTAGGATTCGATTCGATTCGATTCGATTGTAGCTGCCGATACTTGGAGGTGTACATGGAGTTCATAAAATGTAAAATAAAATGTAAAATGTAAGCACCTTTTGATGGCACTCGTTTGGCCCAACTCAATTATGGAAATTTTTGCTGTTTTGCTGCGCTATCCAATTAGCCACGTGGACTGCCATCGAAGCTCCGCTAAACTTTGGGGCCAGCTGGCCATTGTTTTCCAGTTGCAGCTCTTCGCTGTTGCTGTTGTTGCCGCTCTTCGCTGTTGCTGTTATTGCCGCTCTTCGCTGTTGCTGTTGTTGCTGCTGGCAGAGTTTTGCTCATTAAGTCCCCTCGCTGAGCACTCACTTTGCAGCTCCTCCATGGACCAGCGTAAAGTGTTTGCGGGTCAAAGCAACGCGACCCTGCCACCCTCAGCACCTATTTTTAGCTGTGGAGCACCTAACTAAAGTTTTTAATAACACTTAAGTCGAGCAGATAAAAGGCGTTTGGCCAGCAGCAATCTGAGTGGAGGTGAGAGAGCTCCCCAGCTCCCTGTTAGCGCTCTGTTACTCCCTGTTAGCTCCATCCCAGCTCCCTGTTAGCGCTCTGTTATGCCACTGTTAGCTATCTGCTCTCTTCCCTGTTAGCGCCCTCTTCGCTTCCACCCAGCTCCTTATTCACTTCCCTTATTGCTCTTTTGCACCTCTTCTCGCTCATTTGCTGTGATTAGTAACAGCTAGTGACCCATTTGCCGCACACCATTGAGCCAGAAACAGGAGTAAAGGCTTTAAAGGCACGCCAACCCCAAGCTCGGGGCCACTCGTATGAGAGGTGTGTTCTTTTTTTGTTGTTGTGTGTCTGCTCGGGCTGCGATTAACATTAAGCACACCTCTGGGAGGGCGTCATGTGTGTGGCTGTTAGCCGGCGCCATGCTGTAATCAACACTTTAAGGGGGCAAAGCTTGTTGGCCCCGTTTTTCGCGCCATGAAGCTGAGTCTATGAACCCCAAGAGGAGAGATGAAAGAGAAAGGGAGAGCGAGAGCGAGAGCGAGAGAGTAAGGGATCCTGCCTGGTCCTCATCAAATAATTTGTTTATAGCCGTGACCGTTTTTGGCCCACATTAGCAGTTCAAATCCATGGCAATAAAGCCACACTGAATGCCAGCTGCCGACTGACGCGTGTTGCCCCGTCGTCTCGCTTGTGTGTGCAACATAAAAGTGACTATTTTATGATTTAAGCACCGCAAAAGCCACAGCACACACACCCACACCCACACACAAGCTGCAAGTTAATCACACATAAAAAGTAACACTTTATTCACGCTTAAAGTCAATCCCTTTGCTCGACCTCTGCCTTCAATAAACTTTTGCCCAATTGCCGGCGGTTTTGTGCTCAATTTTGTGCCCAATTTCGTTGTAGCACACAAAATAAATTGCATTTTGTGGATTTTGCATTAACAAATTCAGCAAACAAATCAAGCCAGCCAGCCAGCCAGGCCCGAAAAACAATTTCAATTAGTTGTGGTGCGAGCACGCGGTTAGCCGCAGCATTTCGATGCGAAGTTGCCACTGGGATGGGATGAATGCCTGGATGCTGGAGTTAAAGATAAAGATAAGTTATCTTGTTGCAACAGACAGCTAAAAGCATGCGAGATTAGGTTTATATTTGTAGTTTTGCTTGCTGCATTTGCCTTTGTGGTTTTGTGGAGTGAAAAGTTACTCAGTTGCTGGTTGAAAATTCGTTGAATGCTGCCGCCAGTGATTGGGCCGCATACTGCTCGCAGCCACTGTGTGTGGACCTACCCATAAATCCTCTTTCCATTCCCGCTGTCTGGCTAAAGGTTAACGCATGTCCATCAGCTGCCACACAACAGCTCGGCTGCGATCAAGCGGAAATACACACACACACACAGGCGGCACACATTCGACAGCCGCCTGGCAAAAGTTTACGCGTGCAGCTTTTGTGAGCGGTTTTCGTAGAACTTTTTGATTTGCCAGCGGCATTTGAGGCATTTTAATCAACTATGAGGCTGGCTGGCTGGCTGGGACCGGGGCACACAGACGAGAGCTAATAAATATTGGCAAAACTCTCCCTCTCTCTGGACACTGTGTCCAGCTGCAGGTTTACAAGTTGCTTTGCAATTCACAAGAGCACATGTCCATCTATCCATTTTTCGATGTAAATACCCCCCAGGGGGGATACTTGGAATTTTGAAGCCAGAGTAGAGGAGAGTCTGGTCTGGTCTGGTCTGTTTGAGTGCAAGTCTCTCTCAGCATTGTTGTGGCCAGAGCCCAGGCAAATGTACTTTTGATGACATTTTAGAGAGAAATGCCTGAGCAGCAAGCAGCAAAACTCGCTTCAAACTTTAAGAAACTTTAATCAATAAAAACCCTTTTGGTTTTTTTTCTTCAATCCAGCTTAAGGGAGCATAAAAAAGGGAAGAAATGGAAAAAGCATAAATTGATTTTCAAAATACAAAGGGACGCGCTTTCCATTTTCGGTTGTTTTTCATGCCCCAACATATTTGCAGTTTTGTTCGTGGACAGGTCCTTTGCTCTTTGAGTTTCTGTCTGCCAGATGGAAACAACAGCAAAATGTCAACAGCAGCAACGTTTTCATTTGCGGACAAAACAGGCCAAAAATTAATTCAAGTTCCGCGCGCTTTCAAATGTAAAGAAGAAAAAGAGAAGACAAAACTCAGGCATGTCTTTTATATGTATTTATGTACATATGTATATGTAATATGTATATGTAATATGTACTCCTAGGTTCTGCCTGCCTGCGTGGGCCTAGTACAAGATTTAATTAAATTTTTGCTGTGTAGCGGAAAACATTGTCAGCTGCTGCCTGCAGGCATTCAGCATTCAGAATTAAATTACAAGATAGATGCTAGTCCCGTCTCCCCATGGCAGCAAACGCACATTGATGTTCCAATCTTTCTTCCCCGCCTCTGCCCCTGCAATTAGCAGCATTACTTCAATGCTTCAGTCTGCATTAGCCAGACTCAAACATGCCTGCGTCCTGCTCCACTCCACACTGTTATTTGAGTCGCAGGCAAGATGCAAATGGAAAATGCAATCCCTACATGCGCAGCGCAGAGTTTGCCAGACAGATTTCACATACAAAACTCTCTGATACGCACACCTTCTGGAGACGAGAAATACAATAGCTGGCGGCAGGCATCTGCAATCTACGAGTGGAAATCAAATCCAAAGTTGTCTGCCAGCAACTTTGTTATTTGTCCTTGTCCGTGTCCTTAACCTGCAGCCAAGCACTCCATTAGTATGCCAACATGAAGCCAGCAATTAAGTAAACTTCCCAAGTGTCTCCTGTCCTACCTGTCCATAAAGCGCAGAGCACCTGCTGGCAATTGGGGATTGCGGATTGGTGTGCCAAAAACTCTCCTTCTCGCTCTCTCTCTCTCTCTGAAGTTATTATCTGTTCACGGGCGTTGAATATTCATTTATGTACTTAACCAAATTGTTACACTCGTTGCTCCATGCCTGTGCACTTGCCTGGAATAGATTGCATTTGGCCCAAAGCAAACCTAATTACATCATGTTGCAATTAGAGCAGGTTCCAGCAGGTTGTGCAGCTGATATGCCTCTCAGGTGCAAACGGCTCTGCCACTCGCTTGACTTGCTACAAAAAGAAAATAAAAAGCAATAAAAAGCCTTACAAATTGAATTGGCTCCGTGCACTTAGCATGAGGCAGGCTATGAGTAGCCATAGCCATAGACATAGCCATAGATATGCTGAAGGTCCTGCCTGCCGTTGCTCCGCTCTTCTCTCGAGTGTTCACATCTATCTGTGTGTGTTGTTTCATAAGCTACACGCCACTATATTTAGAGTGCCTGTACGATGGTGCTCGGGCGTAGCCACAGCAACAGATCAGAGCCACTCCAAGTCCCTGCAATGATTCAGTTGGCTCCCATATCGATGTGGGGTCTATTTGGGCCACACACTTGTCTGATTTGCGAGGCAAGCACGTGAGCCGATTATGATTACATGCGAGTGCAGGCAGCCCAGTTGCAGTTGCAGTTGCAATCATGTCTGCCCCCTGCTGTTGCAGGTGCTTTTGGCTTGCTTCAATCAATTTGAACATGCTGGGGCTGGCAAATATAAACAAACAAAACTTTGATATTAAATTCTGAAATATTTTGCTTAAATATTTCCTGCTTTATGTTTACTTTTAGCACATTGCGGCCAGCCTTGAGCGGATACGGATGCGGATGCGGATGCGGAAGTCCGCACAGTTCTAGCTGTTGTGGCCATGGCAGCCCAGCAGCGGTGAAAGTGTTGCCAGCAGCAGCAGCAGCAGCAGCAGCGACAGCAATTCAAGCCGGAAAACGGAAATCAGACTAAAGTGCGAGGCAACACGCGGGCGACTCATAAAATGTTCGACCCCTAAAAACATATAAACAAAAAACATAATGCCGCGGCAGCAGCAGTAGCACCAAGAGAGGAGCCAGCCATTGAAAGGGAACGACACCGAAGGATTTCTTTGCACCCAGAAGCACTCACAAGTGGGAGGGGGCGAGCGAATTCTGTGAGCGACAAACGATTCCCGGTCCAAACAAGACAAAATGGCGGACCTGGAACGCATACGTCTTGTGCTGCTGGGCGGTGCCGGTGTGGGCAAGAGCTCCATTGTGAAGCGTTTCCTATTTAAAAGCTACACAGACAAGTACCGCGCCACCGTCGAGGATCTCTACAATCGCGAGTACGACCTGGGCGGCGTTACGCTAAAGGTGAGTCTCACCTCCCCTTCCCAGCACAAAGACCAGAGTGCCATGAACAGAAGACTTATGCGCTGAGCGTTAGGCGGCTTGGCTTCATTGTAGTTGTACCTGCTGACATTTGCTGTGGGGGGTGCACCTTTGTTTTCCGTCGCTTATTGTTCGTTGGCACTCAAAGTGAATGAGTCAAAGTGCAGGCACTGCAATTAGGGACGGTGGACTTCATTTACCCAATCAAAATGACCATCAAGCAGCCAGAAATGCTGCACGTAAGTAAGCACATTAATTAGGCAGAAATCTACTAATTGGATGCCTCTCCGCCAACAGCATTCCCAGCAGTGGGCATTACATTCCATATGCAAAGTATTAGCCTAGACACGTGTGCTGCTTGGTCTCTCCTGGCAATGAAGTTGAAGCAATGATGGCTTGTGGGTTTGTGGCTTTGCCTGCCCAATCTCTGCCCAAGGGCATAAATGAACACAATTACACATACACATGAAGCAACTATAAAGGTGGACTCGTCGTCGACAGCGTTTCTCGGGTCATTTCCCCCTGAGCTCAGTGCTTCAGGCGCACACTCCATTGTCGTTTCACTCACACTTACAGCGAGAGCTCTCGCACTTTTTGACAGCACTGTTACGTTTCCCTCTAAAACGCCGACGGGTCCTCCTTTATGGTTGCTTCTTGCACATACACATGTATGTATACTCGCACCTACACATGTATATTTATGAGGTAAACGCAAAATTGAACGAATGAGATGTTCTTCATTTAAATGCACTTGAGGCAAGTCTGGGATAATTGCTTTTCGCGGAGAAAAGTCTAGATGAAGCAGTGCGCGACAAGCACAAGGGCTGCTTCATTAATCACACACCCACAAACACTTTCCACACAGCGATGCCCTTACAAGTAAAGCTAAACAGAGGAGAACGGGATTGCGGTATATTATAGTAATGGAATATACCTCTATGTCGTTGTTGTTGTCGCGCTTCTCGCGCGTCGCTTTATTTCAGTTATTCTCCCAAGACTATGTTAGCGCAGCGCGCAGGTAGAAACACCCTCAGCAAAGCTGAGAGAGCGCCGATCGGGTGCTCTCTCACTGTGCTTGCATTTACACAAGTTTACCGGTTGCTTTTTGCACGTCTCTTTATTGTTGTTGTCCTAAGCCTATGCAATTGCGCATCGCGCAGGTAGAAACACCCTCAGCAAAGCTGAGAGAGAGCCTATCGGGTGCTCTCTCGCTGTGCTTGCATTTACACAAGTTTACCGGTTGCTTTTTGAACGTCTTTTTATTGTTGTTTTGCCTAGCATGTGTAATTGCACAGCGCGCAGGTAGCAAAGCTAAGTGAGAAGCGATCAGATGCACTCTCAGAGAGCGACCTAGCGTAGAGACTAGAGTTGGAACTTTTAGTACGTCTCTGCTGTGAGTCTACTGCATAATGTAGAGGAATCAAATGCCAAACAAAATGAGAGAACACAAATACAATTTCTCAGAAATACATGTATTTCGGTGATACACGAAATAGTAATTAGGCGCACTCATTATTAACGTATAACACTGTATAACAATGTACATACTCGTACACAAAAAGATTTTTCAATTAAATAACTGTGCTGTCGAGTGGCTGCTGTGAATTGGGATGTGCTCTTGCGGCTATTTGGTAAACTTTCTCTTTAATTGGAACGAAAACTAGCCAATTATGGCGGGATTCGAGAGTTTTGCACATCACTGACGACGGCAGCCACATTCTTGGTGCCTTGTCATGGCTTGGGAACTTCCTGCTCTGCTGCTTCCTCTCCTCCTTCTCCTCCTTCTCCTTGCTTGACAGTGTTTAAGCTGATTATTTGCTGTTCAAACTTGTGTCGGACCGCAAGAGGCACACTAACGCACGAGTCGTCGAAAAGTTGGCCCACAAACTTGATTAATAGCTTGATACTGCTGCCGGTGTGAACCATCATCATCATCATCATCATCATCATCCTCAGCATCATTATGAACATCATAACCGCTGTGGTGGGTTGATGCTGGCAAAATTGATGTTGAGCAGCGACATCGACACTGTTGGTGGTGGCGTCGCTCTTTTGCTGCCTTTTCCAGGAAACTGTTTTAATTAATTTCATTCTCGCGCCCAATGGCCAAGGTGGGACTAAAACTTCGTGTCTGGAGATTGAATTCCGCTTCGAGCACTGCCTGTCAGTGCTGGCTTAAAGTGATTTATGCCGTCGTGTCTACCCACACAGCACAGAATGCATTCAAATACATTACCTTAGAAAATTTTGCCACTGGCTCCCTCTGCCGTCTGCTGCTGTCTCTGCTCTGCTTAATGGCCTTTGCTCTGGGAAAACAAGAAGCAAACTGCAGCCCCGCTGTGAGTGATTGTCGGAGCGTGTGACCATCAAATGGGAGGCAAACATTACATTGCACTAAACGATTTTCTGCTACCAAAAAGCATTTTTGTGTCGTGTGCCGTAGGTCGTCTATGACGCAGCTATGAACTCCGATCCGAACTCAACCAAACAATGAACAATGCCAAATGCCTCTGCCACAGGGACACGCACAGAGTTGTTGTCGAAAATATAAATTGTGTCGTTTTGCAAAGTGTTTTTAATAAAGTTTACTCATTCCGGCTAAACAATGCGTTACAAATTTGCGTCACAATGGCCAAGGCTGACACTGCTAAACGTTCGTGTTGCCGTTGCCTTTGGCGTTGCCGTTGCCTTTGGCCTTAACACGCTGTTGACACTGCGGCTAGAGAACAATGCATATCGCGTATATGCCACGCTATAGAAAATAACAGATGCCGACACTCGGGATTAGGTGGCATCAAGTGAGCATTGAACGGGAGAGACACGAGGCATGAAGCACGACCCAGCATCACCCAGACACAGACACCACCACCACGGGGTACTTGTCCTTGTCCTAGGCATTTGCTCGCTCTTCGCTTTACATTTAAAAAGGGAATTCTTTGCAGGATTTTTCTTTTATAAAATTGCGAGAATAAAGTAGGAGTTTCCCTAGGACAGAAAATTGCTCAAATAAAGTGGAACTTTCCGTGGAAACCCAATTAAAGTCTGCTCATCAAATATGAAAGCGCACAGAGAGAGGGAGAGGGAGATGGAGAGTGAGAGTGAGAGCTCAGAGCTTCGCCGCGGTTTGTAATCAAATTTGTAGGCATGGGATTTTTCATTACACGTAATTTTTCGCTCATCAATGTTGCATCATGCTGCTGCCGCTGCTCTGTTTTGCAGGTGGACATTTTGGACACGTCCGGTGACATGCAATTCCCCGCCATGCGACGCCTCTCCATTGCCACCGCGCACGCTTTCATGCTCGTCTATGCCGCAACATCAGCGCCCAGCTTTCAGTGTGTGAAGCAATGCTTCGAGGAGATACGAGAGCAGCGCGGTGACTTTCAGGTGAGTGCTGGCAGTTTCACTTGGTACTTGGACTGCTGCATTTTGGATGTAATCAGCGGCACACGCCTGCCCGCAAACCAATTAAAAGTGTTCTCTCAGACGAGAGCTTAGCAGATCTCTTGTGCTGCTTTGCTGTTATTGTTTTCCCATTCGCTTTACCGTTTTACCGCTACGCGCTCCCCATTGTTCTCCCGAGTGTCAATTATGCGAAGCTTTTGTGTTACTTGACTCTCTCTCTCTCTCTCCCCCTCTCTCTCGCTCTGCTAATACTCCCCGCTTTGTCTTCCGTCTCACGCACAGGACATACCCATTGTGATTGCTGGTAACAAAGCCGATCTGGCACCCACCCACAGAGAGGTCAAACAGGAGGAGGTGACAGATTGGGTGTTCTGCGAGCTGCCGCGTTTAAGGTAAGTTCCGCCATTAATTCAACAAAATGATGATTATTTCTACGTATAAAATCGCACAACAGCTGCGACAGGCGACAGCAATTAGAGTTCCCAGGCAACGCCACAAAAACCGCACAGAAAACCCAACCGAAAACAGCAGCAATTTTCATAAGGAAAGCAACAAAAGAGGAATTAGAAATGTTCCATAAATTGTGGGAGGTAATACCCCACCCAACCCCACCCAACCACTTGTAACCCTCAAATGGCAAATGGAAAACTGCAAACTGCAAAATGGCAGAAGGAAGATTGCTACCAAATGAAATTAAGCGACGGCGCGCGTGACATTGGGCAGTGGAAAAGGGAGTGCCGCGGCGGGCACTTGCCTGTGAAACCGAAATCACAGTCCGAGGCTCGAGTTGCGGCACTCATTAAATGGCATTTGTTACCATTGCCCTCTTGCCCACTGCAACTGATTAAGAGCCCTGCTAATTGCTTGCGTGCATTTTTCCCGGAAAAATATTCCCTTGCCTAATTGGCCATGTTCTGTGGCAGGACGGTGTCGCTGTCATGTATGTCATCAATTAGTTAGCTGAAACCAGCTGGTGCTGGTTGATACTCGTACATGCAAGTGGATATGGGTATTCATACAGTGTAACTGGCATTTAATGATAGTTTTACGGCAGTAAAATTGCTTGAATTTGTACATAAATATTTCTGTTGAGAGCAGCAGCACTGTTAACCGCGTAACGCTGTTAGCTCTCTCCGACAGCGCTCTGAGCGTAAGCTCGCGCTCGCTCTCGCTCTTACGATCCACACGATCCACAACAAGTGATGCTCGGATCCCCGCTAGACTCACTCTCGCACGTACTTGGTTGGACCTTCTCACTTATTCCTTACTGCCAGATACTGCCCTACTACAAACAATATCACTTTAAGGCACTTTAACATCCACCATAGCTGACCTGATTAACTTGTGTGTGTGTGTTTGTGTATTTTAATGCATTTCTTGCGTGACAACTGGCCCTGAAAGGGCTATGGTCGGATTCCATGTGCCTTCAGGCCATGTCGACAGCCTCGCACTTGCCGTTTTTTCAGTGTTGTAATTGCGGCCTTTATAAACCGCAAAGGAGGACACGTAAAAATCACTTACAATCACATACGTGCCGGCCGCCCCCTGCAGGGGCTTGGCATAATTCCATTTAAAGGTGGGGAGAAGGATACGGAACGCGTGTTGCCGGTTCAAACATGCGTGAGTAAACTTATTTAAAGGCGGGCACAGACACCAGCACACAGAGGGCGCACTCTAGCGTAGAGTGGAGATGACAGTGGAGCAGGACACGAGGGAGGAGGGTTGGCATTACACACTGAAAATCCCAGTTGGATTAAACATTTACGTAGATTGATGGTGCGGTTTTGGGCACGTCAGGATGAGGCGCCTTAACCCACATGGCCACAATCTCGCAGCTCAACACAGAGCCCAACCGCAGACTGCCACAAACCCACCCAACACAGCACACTTGGCAAGTGGCAAGTTGTGTGAAGCAGCGGGCAATGTAATTTGTTGCTCCGCTGATGCTACCTGAGCGTCCGTTGTGTCCGCACTGTCCGCCTGTCTGTGGTTAAGCGCTGCGAGAGTGCGCCACTCGAGTGCATTTATCAGACAGACGCAATATAAATACTTCCATAAACCAGTACAAAGGCATGCATTTATTTATGAAGGGTTGTTTACATAACTACGCACTTGTAATTGGTTTTACTTTATCGAAATAGTGCCACACTGAAAGTATTTATCCAACATCCAACAAAAAAATGTAACTTTGATTTACTGCCATTAATAGTTCAGAGCACTTTTTGCTTGTGTTGACCACTCGACTGTGGCAATTGCAGCTGCAGAATCTGCGGCATAAATAAATACTAATTTGAGAGTTTCAAAAAACCTCTCACATGTGTGAGCACCACTGACAACACTTTCTCGTTTGTTTTTTGCATTGCAGAGCCAAAGTGCTGGAGTGTTCGGCGAAGGAGGACAACAATGTAACGGAGCTGTTCAAGTCGCTGCTCTCCCTGTCCCGCTACTTGCCCGCCAGCAGCGGCAGCAGCGGGTCCGGCAGCGCTGCGGCCGGCGAGGCGGCGCCCAGCGGTTTCAAGCGTCGCTCCTCCGCCTACGTCAGTGCCTCGTCCAGTCGCAGTAAGTACGCCCAATAGAGTGCAGTGAAGGCTTGTCAGGGTCGCGCGAAATGAAAAACGGAAATGAGATTTCAATTCAACATTCATGGACCGCATTGGGTGCCACTCTCGTTGCCCACGTCTCGGGCAGGTCAATCTGTGGGCTCATGACTGGCACTTATTGATGGACATTTATTAATTTCTACACTTTAAAGAGCACGGCACGGACTCTGCCTCCGCCGACTGGCTGCCAATTAATAGGCGGGGCTGGGCCACAGTTTTGTGCCAATTTGGCTAATTGAATGCAATTAGCAGTGCCTGCTGCTGGACCCTAATTAATTGTCGAAATTCGGAATGAATTCACAAAGAAAAACTCCTTTACATTATTCATTGAGCAAAGAAAACAAGTCGCAGACAGCCAGGCAAAAGGCTGAGATATCAATCCAGAAACCTTTCTCAGCGGCCACAAAATTCGCTTCAAAATGGCCAAGCACGTGTATTAATTAAAGAGCTTGACCTTCTAATTACCCCATAATGGAATGAATGTCTTATTATCTCATTACAAAACTTATTGAAAGTGGGAAGGCAGCCAGGACGAAGTAGCGCCCTGGGTCGGCGGGTCGCGGGTCGCGGCTGTGGAAGTTTTAAATAAATATCTAGTTAATTAATGTGGCCTGCCCCCACAGAAGATGTTATGCCTGCCAGCCAAATAATTAATTTAATTTCCGCTCAAGCAAACACACAAAAAAAAACGAAAAGTTGTTGAATCATTAGCCTCCGCCTCCGCCTCCGCCGCCGCCAATAATTTAATTGTTTGCCTGGCAGCGGCCTTTGATAATATTTCTAGTGGCACGTTGAAGCCTTTACTGTGGACAGGCTGATGCTACATTTGCGTTTGCTTCTCTCCCATTTAAAGTCATTCAAAATAAGTGCAAAGTTGGCACACAATTGAAGGGCCAAACGGCAGGCCACAAAAACATATTAAAAGCTGTCCCAAAAATGTTGTCCGAGCCACAGAACTGTCGATGACAGGGCGACAATTGTGGCAAGAGGTCGAGTGGCTGGTCGAGTGCCCCCTCTGGCAGTTCAATGGACAAAGTCTCAGACTTGTGTTGGCCAGGAGTCAAGGAGGAGTCAAGGTGCCGCTGTCGAGTAATTGCCTTAAAACAAATCACACAAATTTGCCATTTTGTGGCCGCAGTCGCGGGACACGTGCTTACAGCTTACAAGTGTCTCTGTGTGTGTGTGTTGGCCTCGCTCGTGTAAGCTGAAACCATGAGACAAAGCCAAGGCCTGCTGGCCCAGCTCCCACTCCCGCAGGAGATTGGTGGCAGGTTTCGTCGGGCCCTGAGGCCACACTCAATTGTGAGAGCTCCGTCGCGTTTATGTGGCCCAAAAACCCATTTAGCAGGCGCCAAATTGCTGAAGCATTGGCGCACAAATGTTTTGTGTGTGTGTTTCCCACTGTTTTCTTTCATTTGCCGAAACAAATTTAATTTAAATCTACAACCGGGAGGAGCAGGAGGAGCAGGACTCCTCTCCCTCGCCTGTGTGTGCAATATATTTTGATGATGGGAGTTTCCACGGTCTGGCTTAGAGCGCATCGCTTGGCATCGCTCTTCAATAATTCCCTTTTGGCAGTGGCTCTGGCAACTGCAGCATGCTAATGAGAATTTTGATATAATCTTTCTGATATAGACAAAAACCGCATGAACAGTCCGGCATTGGGCGCCGCTGGTGGCAGCTCCGATAAGAAGCAATCCGCGAGCCTCGTGGATGCCGTCGATGTGGCCAGCACCAGTGCGGAGGCAAAGCTGAAGCCGCGTTCCAGGTGAGTGCCAGCTGGCCAGCAGCTCTGCCGGGATTTGCTCCATCCGTTGTCCTTTCAGATCCCTCATTCGACGCGCCTCACGCAAGACCAAGCAGCAAATCAACAATGCCTCCGATGACTGCAACGTGCAGTAAGCATTTGGGGGCACACACAAATTACGATTATGTATTATTTATGAAGAGAACTTTGCTCAAAGGCAAACAAAAGCCATTTAAGTGTATGTGTGGATAATAGTTGTTGCCAATTCGATGATTATCAAAGTGCTGCCAGAGATTATCTGATGCCACAGAGCAGACGAATGTCTCTGGCCAAGTGGAGTTCCTGGCCAGTTCCTTTCTGTTGGCACAGTTGCACTCAGTTTTAAGGAGCAAAGGAGAGTGAAGACCGTTTCAGAAAAGTATTTATAGCCACTCCACAAGGATATTAATTCCAATTTTGAGTTATTGGTTACTGCGGCGGACGGGGGAGGGACCTGCGACCTGCGACCTGCGACCTGCGACCTGGGACCAGTTTATTTATATTTGAAATTACTTTTGATACGACTACAGAATTGAGATTTTCCAGCAAGGAGTTTCTTGTAAATTGGGGGCGGAATTGAAATTTAAATCAGCGGCGGGTTGCAATTTAAATGTAGGCTGTACGGACGGATCACAGAGTTCCTTTTGTTGATGAGAAATTAATGGCTCAGTCGTCATCGTTGTTGTTGTTGTTATGAGCCGTGAGCAGACCAAGTTTAATGCGTTTTCCATTGATTTGTTTTTGTTAGGCCTGATGCCCCCCCCCCCCCTTTTGAAAGGGTATAACAACCTAAAGATAAAGATACATAGCTCTAAGGCTAATGCTAAATGGAATACATATACACATCTACATACTTACACACATAGCCGACACTGTACTCAGTCAGTCAGTGTCTGAAGCGTTTCTCAAAAATAAATCGAAATGTCTCACGGGGGAGTTGCATTTGAAGGCCAAAAGGAAGCCGCAGGAGGGCAGCAAATTCTCCTGGCAAAAAGCAATTTTGTGGCACGTAACTGTAGAGTAAATGAAGTGCGTTTGTTGGAGTCATGTTTATCAAGGATTATACAGGGTACACACACAAAATATCAACCTTGCCATAGAGCACACTTTTTGGGTTTACATTTTACTGTAAACAAATCTGTTTTTAATACGCAAAACTTTAGCCTGTAAATTGTTTGCTGTGTCGCTTCTTTCTCTGGAATTACGTAGCCAATAGGAATTATTCGAGAGACTACAACATAAACTCTTAGCTGGCAGGAGCCAAACTAATGGATTTGTACATGAAAGGAAATGAAAAGCAGATGCAAAGTGAATTGTGATGACATAGTGTATACATAGCAGACGAGTACATATGTACTTGTGTAGCCCTATCTGCATATGTGTGAGTGCAGCAAAGTTGATTGTTTAGACATTTTAGTTCTGGAATTCCCTTGTTCGTTTCGGTTCATGCCGAAAAGTTATTTAGTTTTATATACAATTACGATATGCATAGGTGTTCGTTTTATATACATATATGTATGTACTTTATGTAATACGGTTTATACATTGTTACTTGGTGTAGTTAAATGAAACAAATCTTATCAAACTATAGCTACGTACATATATCAGTGAGCAGTTTCTTGGGAGCAAAGGGTACAAGTCATAGGCGACCTCTTTTGGTGATCGGCAACAAGCCAAAAGTGCCATCACTATCCAGCGCTTGTCTGCCTGTGAGAGCCGAGAGAGCGTGGTGAGTACACACACACACACACATGCTGTATTTGTCAACGTAATTCGATTGTTCTATCAATTAAAGTTAAGCCAACTAACTTGGAAATCCAACTATGTACTTACCAAAAGAGCAACCAAAAAATACACTAATTGTAAACTAAAAATAACAGAGAACACAAACCAAACAAATATGAAGATACAAGCAAAATAACTTTCTAGGTGTGCGTACTGTATGTGTATCACTGTCATGTACTTTGTAGACTAATTGAATTTCAATTCAAATTGAATTATTGACAATTGTATTAGCCCGTTCGAAAATAAACCACAAATACGTCCCAATGCGGCCTCCTGTCTATAGTGTTTGATTCCATTGCATAATAAATTTAATTCCGCATTCTGTGTCCGGATGGGGACTAAAAGCAAAACAGCAGCGGCAGCGGCAGCGGCAGCGGGAGCAGCAGAACGGTAGCAGAGCAGCAAAGCGGCAAGCAGGGAGCCGCAGCAGCTTTCCGCTCGTCAGCCCATGCCAAAGTAACAGTAAGTAACTTACACTAAATCAATTAAGAGTAGTGCCGTGACCCACGTATCCGTTCGCTCTCCCTCTCCCACTCTCTTTCTCGCTTCAGTAAGCCAGCCCGCCGCAGTGTCCATTAAAAGTAACTAATGGAATTTTATACAAATTATAAATTGCATTGGCCTATAAATTCTCCATTTTTCGAGCTTAAAGCAGACGTGTTTGCTGATGATTTGAAATTTGCATATATAAGCAGCACGGTTTTGCATTCCATTTCTAACAATAAACAGCTTTTCTAGCGCACGCATTGTCTAATTGGTTCACATTATGCGAAAATTCTGTCGCGGCAGCGGCGGCTTAAGCGAACCGTGTGCGTGTGGGATTAATTCGGCAAATGAGAAATCCTGGGGGCAATCCTAGTTGCGTTGTTCCGTTGCTAGGCTACGTAAAGCGCCTTAATTAGCATTAGAATTATTTTGGAATTTGAAATTGCAATGAAATCGCGCACACACGTGGCGCCCGCTAGCGGAGTTCAAGGCGACACCTGGCGGAACTAGGTCGTACTATAGCCACAGCTGCTGCTCACGCGTCAAGGCTGTTTTATGGTTTTTTGCTTACAAGCCAATGTTGGCAAATCAGCTATTTGATGGCTATCTCTAGCTGATTTTAAAGTTCTCTTATTTTGTAAATTATATATTGAAATTAGCTGGAAGTCTGAATGGCAAACATGTAGCTATGCTATTTTATCAATTTATTTCCTAAAGCTGCATGCAAAACTTGCATAGTAATAGAAATATCAAAAATTCAAGATGTTTAATTTCTGGCCACAAAAGTAGCTATTTTTCCGCTGAGCATTAGTCATCACTAATGCGACCGCAACGTTTCTTCAGCATGGCTTTGAAATATATTGGTTTGTATTTAAAAATGGACAAACTGAGAAAACTATTAACCCTAATGGCATAACACCCACAGATATTGGAGCCAATCTGACGGATCCCATGTTCCAGGGCTGCTACGGCGGCACCCAGAAGCATGCGGCCGACCTGGACAACGTCTTGCAACGTGCGTGGCAGCAGGGAATGCAAAAGATCATCATTACTGCCGGCTGCCTTAAAGATGTGGACGAAGCGCTGGAACTGACAAAGAAAGACGGTAGCTAGTCCATGATTAACCTACTGAAACAATGCTAATAGAGTTGTTATCCCTTAGAACGCCTCTACACCACAGTTGGCACGCATCCGACGCGCTGCAAGGAATTCCTGCCAGACCCAGAGAGTTACTACCAGAAGCTCCGCTCAAATATTGAAGCCCATCGGGACAAGGTGCTGGCCGTGGGTGAGTGCGGCCTGGACTACGATCGCCTGAAATTCTGTGACGCAGAGACGCAGCGTCTGTACTTTGAGAAACAGCTCAGTCTGGCGGCCGAGTACCGGCTGCCGCTCTTCCTGCACAGCCGCAATGCCCACACGGACTTTATGGCCATCTTGGAACGCAATCGTGAGAAGCTCAAGGACTGTGGCGGTGGGGTTGTGCATAGCTTTACAGGCACGCTTCAGGAGGCACAAAGTCTGCTGGCATTCGGTGGCCTCTACATTGGTGTCAATGGCTGCTCGCTGAAGACGGAGGAGAACGCGGAAGTGGTGCGGCAGCTGCCAAATGAACGCATAATGCTGGAAACCGATTGTCCCTGGTGTGGCATAAGGCCAACGCATGCGAGTCATCAGTTTGTGAGCACAAAGTTTCCCACTGTCAAGAAGAAGGAAAAGTGGACAGCCGAAACGCTGATAGATGGACGCTGTGAGCCCTGTCAGATAAGGTTACTCGGGAAGGTAGTTATGGCAGCTTCAATGTACTTATAAATATTCCCCATTTCAGTCAAGTTCTGGAGGCTGTGGCGGGCATTAAGCAGCAGCCCAAGGAGAAGCTGGCTGAGATCTACTACCAAAACACTTTGGATTTGTTCTTTAGTGCCAAATAAAACGAATTAACTTTACATTCAATGCGTTTACATATAGTAATTTATTATTGTTTCTCATGTCTAAATGCAAATGAATTGAAAAATACGCTTTACAACTTGGATTCCGCTCATTTTTTATGTTACGTTAATCGGGGAAAAAACTCACGTTACACATTTAGATTTTTGTAAATAATTGTTGCACATTGCTATGTTTAATTAACTGTTGTGATTATGCATGTATGTGTTGTATATATGTGTGTAGAATCGTTTGCCAAAAAATATATTATGCTCTCTAAAGTTCTAGACTAATGGAGTTTACTTTTTATTGCCACATTTTTTTGTTGGTTACGAGTTTTATGCCAATTATCCATGGATCGATTGGTGAAGCCTTAAAAAGCGTATATACAAAATATTTTGTAAATATTTAAAAATTCTACGAGCTAGAGCAGATGTTAGAGTGATTTGTTGGGTATCTGGTAAAAGTAGTCTTGAAACTGCCGATTTGTGTCTGATATGAACGTAAATGATATTTGTGTTTCTATTATTTATATTACAGTGAGAAACTGTAGCCTCTAGTAGTTTAAGCGGCTGGCTATGCATCTAAAATGACAGTACAAGAATCAGTCCAATGGAAAATGTTAAGTTTTATATAGAGCGACAGACTGGGAACGATTTATTCCACTCTCCACTTGGCAGTAATTGGCTTTTTCTATTGACAAAAGCAAAAGTTGCAGTGGGATTTCAAGTACATATATCAATATTATATCTAAGAGCTACGACCTAAACGGTAGTGTATAGATTTTGTTTGTATATAAATTGTTTTGTTAAGTATGCTCAGACCCATGCCAATTGACAAGCAGTTGGAAGTAAATATGAACTCAAAACAGATAAGTAAGAATATATTCCATTTATTTAGGCGTCAGATTAGTGTTTCCAGTGATTGTTTCTTCAAATCATAATCAGATATACGATATATATGGTATGTACATAAACAAAGGAAATTATGATAAATACATAAACATAATAGGTAAATATATATTATTATATTAGAGTTAAATTCGAGTTTGAATTATAAATAAACGATGAAAAGTCTAACCAACTGTCTTCCATTTTTGTTTTGTCGAAAAAAGCATAAAGAATTTCCCTTTTTTTGGGTAGATGGAAAAATCAGTTATGTATTATTATTGGATTAGTTTCAAGTGTGTGGCTAAATATCTTGCATTATATGTATTGTTTATTGTTTATAGTTTATAGTTGATAGTGTGTAACGTAATCATATGTGTGTGTGACGAGTTTTCAGTTTCAAACCAAAACTCTGCAGAGTAGCCTGCAATCGAGCAGGCCGCTCCCTCCATTTCTTGCTCTCTTCTGATTATTTCATATGTTAATCATAGTAATAAATAATATTAGTTGTGCTTATGTCTAACGATTAATTGTTAATGTATTTTAGGAGCGCTGCGGTCGTTGATCTTCTGATTACGCTTCAAGGGTGCTCCGCGTTTTATTTGATCCATCAGCGACTCGTGGCAAATGCGTGGATCCGGCTGAAAGACCAAAGAGGATTATAAGAATATTTCTATTATGAAAACTTGGAACGTAGCGCGTTGGTTAATTGGTAGAACCAGGCACTGAGTGGATTAGCTGCCAGCTGGCTTAGTAGTAGACTGCAACACAATGAGCGAGCAGAACATAACGAGGATCGTAACTAAATACCTTAGCACTGACCATCACAAGTGGTGCCAGTGGGTGTGCCAGTGGTTGTGGTGCTGTTGGGATAGGTGGGTGGTCTACGATATTGTGCACTGGGTCGCGATAGATTTTGTGGATTCTGATACATCTGATTTGGCACAAATCATTTAAATAATATTGTTGCTACTTGTTGGAATATGGAGTTGCTTTTTTGGCGTTGTTGCTGCTGCACTACTTACCAGCGCTTTGCTGTTGATGAGATTTCGCACGGCAAATGCACGGCCGGACATGCCCTGCTTGGCCAATTTCGCATTGAGATTCTCGAGAAATTCGGCCTTGGTCTTGGCCCGTATGCTGCCAGTCTTTTCGATATTTGTGCTTGTGGCATAGTCTATATGAATATGCAGGTTGCAGTTGGATAAAAGAAAAATCGTAAGCAAAACATGGAACGATCAGTGAGTGTGGTGGTGTTTGTGTTTACAATTTTTTAAAATTTGCAATTGAAAAATGGTAAATGGTAAATGGTAAATGGTAAAATGGCAAAATGCAAATTAAAAACTCAACAATTGCTGTTCAATAATTCTGCCTGCAAGTGCTTGACAAAAAGTGATGATTGATGAGACGGAAAGTTGAAGTGAAAGTTGATTTCTCACTGAGCGAGAGAGAGAGAGAGAGGGGGACTCCCTGGGTTTTCCCGCCTGTTTATCCAACACTTGACACAAACTCAATCAGGGCAAACACTTTCTCGCAAAAAACCAAAATATAAATACACAAACAGAGAGGCAAAGGCCAGCATGCGCTAACTTAGGATTAAGTAACAAAAAGTATAATTTATAATTGTTCCAAGTGGTCGAGGAGCAGCGAAATCGGCAAAACAAAACACACAAAATTCAGCGCTCAAATCAAATCATAAACAAAAGCCAAATCAAATTCAAATTCAAATGTAACTCCAGGCTCGCGCTCTTACTTGGATGATGTGCCTGGGCATGGGACATGTGGGCGTGGGCGTGGGCATTCGAATTTGCATGGCCATGGCCATGGGCATTGTTGTGATTGTAGTATGCAGCGCCGCCATTGCTGTTGCCACCAGCAGCATCGCGATAGTAATGTTGTTGCTGTTGCTGCTGTTGCTGCTGTTGCAGTTGCTGTTGCTGCTGGTGATGATTGCCACGCGCCGTTGTGGCATAAATACTAGCCGCGGATCCAGAGCCCGATCCAGCTCCAGTTACAGGCGAACCGCAAGTGGGCGATGCTGAGGGCGAATGAAACTTGACGGCTGTCGTTTGTATGAATGGATTCGTTGACACGAATATCTTTTGCTGCACACTCGAGTGCCGTGACGGTATGGGTGGCTGTCGCTGCTGCTGCTGCTGCTGTTGCTGCTGCTGCTGCTGTTGCTCGACCAAATGTTGCTGCTGTGCAGCTCGCAGTTTCTGCTGCTGGGGTAGTGGCAACTGCGGACGCTGATTCACATGACCATTGCCATTGCCCATGCCTAGAGGCTGTTGATATTGCTGTTGCTGTTGCTGTTGCTGTAGCTGTAGCTGCTGCTGCTGTAAACGTTGCTGCTGCTGCATCATATTCTTGGGCAGCGTTGCCGTTGCCGAGCCTGCTGCATAGGCGCTCAGCTGTGCGGCTGCCGCACTCTGTGCCGCATGGGGGCGTGCCAGCTTCTTGGGCATTGTGGCCGATGCTCCGGCACTGTAAATGGGCGGCGGTGGTGGATCCTCCAGCGGAGGCGGACACGTATAATGTTGCTGCTGCTGCTGCTGCTGCTGTTGTGCCTGTCGCATGTTCGAGCTTGTGGCAGCTGCTGCTGAATTTTTATTAAACGAACTTGAATAGTTGCCAAAATCTTTGCTGCTAGCTGCGGCTGCCAACGGCGCTTGTGGCGGCTGATAGTGTGATGCCACAGCTGCCGAGGCAGAGGCCGCCGCTGCTGCTGTGGAATTTGAGAATGAACTGACTTTGGAGAGCAACGATGATGTGGATGAAGACAGAGGAAAGTGTGGCAATGCATTGAATGAGGTGGCTGATGTTAGAATGGACGCTGCCTGAATGCTGTTGCTGGCCAAAGCGGCAGCTGTTGATGGATTTGACGATGAGGTGCCGTAACTAGCGTAAATTCTATGCTGCTGCAGCGACTGCTGTTGGTGCTCTGATTTACCGTCATAGTTTTGCTGCTGTTGCTGCTGCTGTTGGGACATGGACAGGCCGCTGCGCGTGTAGATGGACTCGCCTCCTCCTGGTTGCTGCTGATTGCCATAGATGCCCTCGCTGGTATATTGTTGCTGATGTTGCTGATGTTGCTGATGCTGTTGCTGCTTGCTGTTGATTCTCGCATTGAGCTGTGCAATTAGATTCGGATTCGCCTTGGGCTGTGTCGGTGGCAGTGGGTGAGCGTGCCCATGCCCATGTCCGTTGGGACTGGGGCTGCTCGTGCGAAAGCTGGACATGTTGTTGACCAGCTTGGGCTGGGCATAGATGCCACCGCCACCGCCACCGCCTCCTTCTGCGGCTGGTGATGAGGTGCGGAACGTCTGTGCGAGATGCGTGTGCGGGATGCAAGTTCATGGTGTTCGTATGCGAAGAAAAAAGAGTCAAATAAAAGCCACAAATTAAAAAGAGTTTACAGCGTAAGCCAAGCTCAAGTGTTAAGGATGAGTTACACTCTAGACTAGATTGCATTACAACTAAGCTGGATGGGTGGGCTAGGGCTAGGGCTAGGGCTAGGGCTAGACTAGCAGCTAATGCAAAAATGAATGTTAAAATTAGTCAAGCAATTAGTCCAGGATGTGGCGCTGCTGCTGGTTATTCGTTGGTTAGTAGACATCAACGCCCAACGCTTTTGGCTCCACTTACGGCATCCGCGGCTGGTGCTGGTGCTGGCGCTGGCGCTGGTGGTGCATGGTACACAGGCGGCGTTGGTGGCTTCTGTGGCAAATGTTGCTGCTGCTGTGAGTGGTAATATTGTTGCTGCTGTTGATTAAAGCGTTGCTGATTGTGCGCTGCTGGCATTTGCTGCTGCTGTTGGCCATGGGCCAAGGCATGAGCATAGGCCTGCAGATCCATATACGAGTCATAGTAGGCCTCATAGCTTGGGTCTTCATTCATGGGTGAGTTGTGCACGGACTTTAGGTGGGGTGGGTAGAGTGTGCAGTTCAGGGCAAAGGCAAATGCAAATATTGGAAATGAAAAATAAATTAAAAGTTGAAACCAAAACGAGCGCTAAGAGTTGAGTGTCGAACAATCCCCGACGAAGACTCGTGCACACACCTGCAGTAGGGGTTGCTGCTGCTGCTGCTGCTGCTGTTGCTGCTGCTGCTGTTGTTGTATCCTACGCAGCGTGCCCGGCGACGCTGGCTGATGCCGCATGGCTGCCAGCGCGCGCACCGTCTCGGACACCTTCAGCGCAGAGTTGGGCATGGCCGAGGCTGCGGCTGGTGCTGTGCAGCTGGACATGGACTCCAGCATAAAGGCGGGCGGCGGTGGTAGATGCTCGCTGGAGCTGCTTAGCTGTGAGTTATGCTGCTGCTGAGTCGCGTGCTGTTTGTTGTTTGCATTAAATTAAATCATAAATTAAAAGAATAAAAGCAACGAAAACCAAAGAAGAAACAAGAAAAAACTCACGCCTGCAGCTTAAACACTAACTTAACCAGAACTTAGACTAACTTAATTATTTTGTGAGCCATTTATCTAAGCTTCGGTCCACACACACACTTACCCCCACTGTTGCTGCATTCGGGCTGGGCGTCACCGAGGAGCTGCGTCGCACTGGCGGCGGTGGCTTTGCCTGATTGATGGACGAACGACGTGCGATGCGCGTTGAGCTGCCACCTGCTCCTCCTCCTCCTGCACCTCCTCCTCCTCCTGTGAATGTTCAAAGATTTTTATTAGCCATCAGAATTGCATCACTCTGGCAGAATATTCATTAGCTGCTGTTCTTGCTGTTAATTACAGTTAAAATATTTATTATTATTATTTGTATGTACAGTAATTCGATTTATACACTTGGCACACACACAAACACAGGACACCATCTAATACGAGAGAGAGAGAATGAGAGAGCGGGAAAGCTCAATCGAAGGTGTATTTGCTTACAAGGTGACGTTCTCCGCTATTCACCACGCGCAGAGAGACAAGCGCTAGAAAGGGATAGAGATAAAGAACTCCCCCCTGTGGTGAAGCCGTGCGGCACCTTGTAAGTAAATTTCCGTTGGATCGAGCGACTCACAGCTGTGTGGAATGAGTAAAGAGAGAGAGAGAGACCGACGCAAATACGAGCGAGTGTGTGTGAGAAACAGATCCCCAAAGCGCTTTAAGCTGTGATTAGAAAAGTTGTTACACATCCTCAGTGATGTAAATTTTGACATGGCACGCTTAAGGAGCGATTCAGTAAGGAATTAATGTTCAAGCAACGATTCAATATCGGTTTAATGTTCAAGCAATTGGCAGAGTTAGTGGCATTTTCGTGCAGAGTTTACTTAAGAGTTTATGTGTGGATCTGTGTGAAGTGATGATACGATCATGGTGTGTTGGGTGTAAGGTGAGCCAATTCCAGTTGCAAGTGAAGCAAATTAAAGGAACTTTAGAAAAAGATGAACATATTACAACAATTAGAAACCAAAGCCCCAGTGTGTGTGAGAAAGCAATTGAAGAACCAAAAATTTGTAATTGGAAAATAAACGCAGAAAAATCCAAAACCAAAGAAATAAAAAAAAAATCGAAAAACGAACCCGACAGCGAGGCCGGCCGGGGCGTAATGCACGGCTTGAGACTGGCATTGGCAATGGAATTCGTATTGGCTGGGGAGCACACATATGGATGGGCGGGTGGTGGTGGTGGCGGTGGCGTAACGGGCAGGAGCGTAGCAGGAGCATTTGATGATATCGATGTGGATGCAGATGCAGTTGATGGTAATAATGATGATGCTGTTGATGATGATGAGCCGCGAGCTGACAATGATGTTAATGCAGATGGGGCTGTTGCTGTTTGCGGCATCTTTTGGCTTGGCATTCTATGATTTTGGCTGTTGTTGTGATTATGGTTTTGGTATTCTGATGCGGATGCAATAACAATGCCAGCCGCTGGGCTATTAGTGATATTACAGTTTCGGTTTTGGGGCGACTGAGGTGAGTGTTGTTGCTGCGGCTGCTGCTGCTGCTGCTGCAATAATTGCTGTTGAATCTTCTGCTTCTGCTTGCGTATTTTGGCATCTAAATCAGCCTTAAAGTCTGACTTGCGGGGTATCAATGGCTTGTCGGCTACACTGGGAGGCTGAGACGCAGCCGCACCCACAGCTGGACCATTGAAAAGGCTCAGGCTGAGGCTGTTGGGCTTTGGGGGCAGCTGTCGCCGCATCACAGGAGGCTCTACTGTTGCCTGGATATCGCTATCACTGACTGTTGTACCCTGCTGTTGCTGCTGCTGCTGCTGCTGGGTCGACTGCTGCTGTTTTGCTTTACCTCTTTGTGGACTGCCGCGTCCGAGCAGCTGTAGCTGCTGCTCGCTGGAGGCGCGAAACGAGGAGAGTCGCTGCTTGGCGGGCGCCACAGTTGCTGTTGCCGGCGCGGGCGTCTTCCCACTGCCGGAGGAGTCCGGCGAGTCCGGGGATCCGGCTAGGAGGTTCGAGGGCAACTGCTGCAACTCCCGCAGCTCGTGCAGCTGCAGCTGTGACTGCACCTGCGGATCCTTGGTGCGCAGCAGCACAATCTCCGAGTTCTGCTTGACAAACTCTATGTCCGGCGTGTTGGGTATCTGATGGTCGTAGATCACAACAACGGCGCTGCCGCTGTCGCTGCAGGTGTCCACGTAGGCGTGCCGCGGCTGGCCCGACAGGCAAATGCTGTCGGAGGCGGCCAGCGAGATGCTGTCCGCGGACACGCACACGGACGCGGGCGCATACAGCGAGCGACCCTCGCTGCCCGAGCCCCCATTGTAGGGATCGTCACGGCTCGCACTCGCCACAAAGTGAGCGAATGTGGGATTCTCGTAGCCGCCTGCGGTCAGGCCGCCGGTCAGCGAACTCGTCTCGCTCACATAGCAACGACTCAGCTCCGAATCGCTGGCGCCCAGCAGCTCTCGCTCTCGCCGCGTGGGTTCCGTCTCGCCGGCGAGCTCCTCCGAGGTGGTGTCCGATATGTCTGTGCCACAGCCGCTGGAGTTTGTCTGATTGCTGATGCCGCACAGCTCGATGTTTGAGGTGCTCGTGATGCTGGTGATGCAGGTGGGCAGCACATTGTTGTTCTCGCTGCTGCTGCTGCTACTCGTTGTTGTCAGGTTGTTGTTGCTGCTGCTGTTGGTGTTGCTGCTGCTGTTCTGCTTGCCCTTGCCCTCATCGATCTCACGTTGGAACGAGTCTAGTTCGCCAATTAAATTATTTAATGCTTGGATTGAGTCTTCGAAAGATTTGTCTAATTATTTGTTGGTTGTTGTTTTTTTTTTGGTATTTGTTGGTGGTGTTTCATTTTGGTGGTTTTCAGTTGTTGTTTGGTTTGTTTGTGGTGCATTTTGGTGGTTCATTTACAGATGAATTATCGTATAAGGTGGATAATATGAAGAGTAGAAGTGTGGTGTGACAGAGAGACAGCGAGAGAACGAGAGAGAGAGTGGGTTGACAATTTGGGAGTAAAAAAAAAAAAAACAAAAATAAAGAGAGAAAAAAAAGAAGGTTGGGTTAAAATTATATTCACATTTTGGTTTGGCTATAAAAATAAACAACAAATCGAACAAATTGCCAGGAGGGACTACAAATCGGTTGGGATCAGACTGATTCGGGAGACGGAGATGTGGTCTAGGGTGCTCTGAAGAGTGCTCTGAATGGATGAACGATCGATTCAACGATTCAAACTTACCCATTTCCTGTTGCTCGGCCTCGGAACGTTTGGGTGGCACAACTGCCGATGGGGCTGTAGCCATTACCGGCACTGGTGGCGACACACTGCCCGCTGCTGCGGCCACAGCCGCCGCTTGCTTCTCGAACATGGAAGCCTTTTGCAGCACAGAGGCACGCGAACGTTCGTCTGTGTCCTCGGCAGCCTGCTGTGCCTGCTGCTGCTGCTGCTGCTCGGTGATCTTCAGCACCTGCTGCACCTCGCTCGTTGGCGGCGTGGGCGAGCTGACTTGATAGACAAAGCCCAGACCGGTGCCGGTGCCGGTGCTAATGCTGCTGCCACTGGGCGTACCTGCGGCAGTGGATGTGGGTGAGTTGGTTAACAGTGGCGAGTAATGATTCTGTGGCGTGGAGCAGCCACTGGACGGCGAGGTGGTGTTCGTATTGGTGCTGGTGCTGTGTGTATGCTGGCCCACAAGGGAGCCGCAAGCGACCGTCGAATCGATCGATGGATGCGAGTGCAGCGACGATGCCGTCGAGGATATGGAATGGGAGCGTGTGCTGGCAAGGTGCTGGGCAGCAAGAGGCGTTTGCTGTTGCTGCTGCTGTTGGAGCAGCTGATGTGAGCCCGAGGAATCATTGGAATGCTGCGAGCATATCGAATCAATGGAACTCTGCTGCTGCAGTGGCGGTGGCTTCTGTTGCTGCTGCTGCTGCTGCTGCTGCTGCTGTTGCTGGTGGTTAGTGAGCTTCAAGGCCGCCATGTTGGCCAGTTCGGACATGTTAACGTAGGTGGGCGGACTCTGCTGCTGTTGGAGTTGCTGCTGTTGCTGCTGCTGCTGCTGCTGTGCGTGATGTGCTGCGGACAGCTCTGTGGGTTGTGGTGGTTGGTGGTGTTTGATGTAGTTAGCAAAGGACATGCGTGATGGCAGGAGGAGCAGCGGGAGTAGAGAGTGTCACAACACATTTGATTAGTAAGAGACTCATGGGATTAAGCGTGCAACAAAACACACACAAAGAAGCAAGAGGGAGAGAGAGGGAGACAGGGATGGGCATGGGGAAAACCCTTCTTACCTTTCGTGATATGAGCTGGTATCGGCGAGGGGCACTGACGCTGCAGCAGTCCAACGCCAACGCCAACGCCACCGGCGCCGCCGCCGCTGCCACCACCCTGACGATGATTGCTCTGCGCGGACAACGGACGCTCCAGCGATGAGCAGCGCTGCAATGGGGTAGACATTGAAGGAGTTACTATAAGCACAGACCTAAGCTCTAGTTTTCTAGGATTTATTTCGTGATGAAGCGACAGTTGGAGTCTAAGTTCTGGCTGGGTTTTGAGGCGCATGCAAAATGAGCGCGCATTTTGGGTTCTACGTTGGGTTCCTCGCCTTCGTTTACTCACCACATGTGCCGGCTTCTATGCGCGGTTTGGTAAACCCCAAACAGAATGAGAAAAATGCTTAATAGAATGTACCAGAAAAAGAGTAAGAAATTCCCCCGAGATTGCCCACTTTTCATGCTGAATCTCTCTCCCAGGCGGACAAGCTCCCGGACAGCAGCCTTGCTGGACCTCCCCATACTTACAACTGGCAATGGAGGACGACTCAACGAGGCCGCTGGTGACTTCTGTGTGGCCGGTGTGCTCTGGCCCGATGCTGGCTGTCCGTTGGATGAGGCCACAGAGCCATTGTTGATGCTGCCGCTGCCGCTGCCGGACTCGTGTATGGTCTCTGGATTCTGGAACGTGTAGACAGTCAACGGTGGACGCTGATGACCCTTCTCGTAGGCCGTGGAAATGGTGTGCGGTCGATCGGCCGCGGGTGGCAGTGTGTCCACCGCGTCCTGGGAATGTGGCGGCCAAGTGGAAACATTTGCCGTCTGATTCGTTGCATTGGAGGCCTAAAAAGGGGCAAATCCATGAGCAAATGCTTTGGGACACAGAACTAAGACACACAAAAATCCAAAAACGACAAAGAGACGCTCTACAAAAATTAGAATTAGAAACAAAATGAAAACCTGTGTTGTTAGAGCTGGCGATGAGCAAAAGCCACTATCACTGGATTCACCAGGTTTCAAGCGTATTGCGGGCGTTACAAACTAAAAGTAAAAACGGAAAACGAAACGTACAAAAAGAAAACGTTGATGAAAAGTAACCAAAGGAAAATGAAGGGACACAACATAAAGGGAATGGCTGGGGGAAATGCTGAAGCTGGGGGGAAAGCGGAGGAGGAGCAAGAACTTCACCTGCGAGAGGGAGCGCGGATAGTGATGGTGTCCCGGCGAGTTGCTGGAGCCGCTGCTATTCATGCTGCTTATGGAGCACACGGAGCTCTTCCTGGAGCCCAAGGAGTTGGAGCAGCCGCCACCCTGTGAGCCGGAGCCACCGCCTGGGGACTCTGGGTACAGATTAATGCTGGCCTTGGCGTCGTGTATGAGCTCCTCGGAGGCCTGCGGCAGCACACTGGGCTCCTTGGTGACCAAAGCAATGGACTGCATGGCCTCCTGTAAAAGTGTCAGAGTTTGGATGAGAGTTTCGAGTGGGGGACTCTGATGAGAGCGCACCTGCAAATGCCCCAACTCGGACATCACTTCGCACTCCTCGTGCACCACCGGCTGCAGCATGTGCACAAAGCTGCAGTAACGAAGTCGCTCCTCCACCATGGCGGCGCGCAGTGAACGCTTCTCGACCTCCTCCAGCTCGGCACGGCGCAGCGTTACGTCCTGCATGTGGGAGTCCATCAGCGACTGCAGGCCATCGGTTTGACCCTTGCGCGCCTTCTTCTGCAGCCGCAACGTGTCGCTGGAGCGCTTCTTCAGCTCGCTGCGGCAGCGCTTATACTCTTTGGCATGGTCCTTGTCGATGGTGGCCACGGTGCGTTTCCAGTCCTCAATCTTATCCTGCAGCGGCTGCACCAGGCAATCCATAATGGCGCTGGTGAAGGTCTTCAGGCGCGTCTCCACCGCCTTGTGGCGCAGACAAACGCGCGTCAGAGCGGTGCCAATTTCCTTGGAGGCACCTGCAAAACGCAAAAGGAAATAAAGAATTATTTAATGTTTTTTTTTTATATATATTAAATTACTGAAGGGGAACATAAATGGAGCAATGAGGAACGATGATGCTCTCGGGCAGCAGCGGAAATGTTTGCCGCACGCCATGGGCTGGCTGTCGCTTCAATTTGGAGGCGCAACTGACATTGCATGTGGCACGACTCCGGGCCGCAGTCTGCCTCGTCTTCGTGTGTGCCCATTATGCCATGGAAAGAGGCAGGAAAACTGGTCAAAGCAACGGGCTACAGCCACTCCTCCGGCTACTGCTACTGTTACTGCTACTGCCTTTGCATATCACAAAACGAATGACACCCGTTCCCGATTATGTACGACACATTCCCATTCCCAATAGCATTAACCTCTCTGGCAAAAGGTAATTATCTTTCGACAGCTTATTGACTCTGCTTTGACTTGCCTTCAACTGCCTGGGCCTCTGCCATGAAGCACTTGCTCCAAATCCCACTTAATTGAATGCGAAACACAAAATCTCTTAAGGACCTTTGCCAGACAGAAAAGTGTTCTCTTTTTTTCACTGTGTAACCATGGGGTTGGTTGCCATGTGTGCAAAGCATCGAGTTACACCCTCCTGCTAGGACACAAACAAAAAAAGGACAATTGACACTTGTGCCGCTGCTTGACCGAGCTGTGCCTTCCTTTAACTAAGCCCGGCACTAACCACTAAAACTAATGAAACCATTTAGCAAGTGCCAAGCACTCGTTTGCCAAAGCAGGATAGGTGGTGGCTGGTGGCTGGTGGCTAATGGCTAACATGAATTACGGGGATATGCACTTAGCAGGGCAAAAGGGCGCACTGTACTGTACGCTCCTGTCTGCGGCAGGCGGGAGTGGATCAATATATGCTAATGCATGGGCGCTACCCGCCAGCTGCAGATGATTGAAAAAGTTAAGTCTGGCTGCTAACAGATTGCATAGAGTGTGTAAATGGGAATCCAATCTTTAGCTGGCTTTTAGCTGGTCTTTTATGGTAGCCATCGATGAGCATTTGCACTGAGTAATAGATAAATGGAAACATTTAATGGATGGCACTGTAGATATATATAGGAAATCAGTGGAATTCTTATTTTAATTAATTTCCAAACAACTTTGTAAATCTCGCTAACAGCTACAGTACTCGAAATATTTATTCACACCTGCAATTATTATTTTCTATTTATTTACTCTTGAAGTACACGCTGAATCATTTGGTAATTGGACACACTCCTCACCGAAACTAACTCATTTTTGAGCCACTACTGTACCCTGCCTGTGATGTTGTTGTTATCTCGCACGCTTACTCTCTGCCACTCTCTCTCTCTCTCTCTGCACCGCCTAGACCAGAACTCATTGTCGTTTCCTCATTCCACCAGCACTCCACTCCACTCCACTCTCTGACCAATGCATTTGCTAGTTAACTGTATAACTGTAACTCAAGCAAAGCAAATGCGAAATGTCAACAAGAACAGCAAGCAGTAACGTAAGACAAAGTCGAAGCTTTGATGCCCTGCAAGATCGAACGTTTGCATGGTAGCTATACTTTAAAGTCTGCCAATTTAGTTTACAATTCTCTGAGTTAGGACACTGAGCTATGGCCATAGCTAAATAATATATTTAAAGTGTAAGCAGCTTTAGTCAGAAGCTGCTTCTGCACACATCCGCTGAAAGTCATGGCACCTTCTGTAAGGGTATCGCAGGTAGTGCTAAATACATGCTGTACATGCTGTCTGCTTTGGTCCACTCCCCTGCCTGACGTTGACGGTGGGCAGAGCATATCATCAAAGCTCTCTCCCTCTCTCTCTATTCTCTACTTCTGTGAACACATGTGTGTGTGTATATATATTTTCCCGTCTCCTGTGCCAGCTGAGGTGATCCATCGGACGCGGGCCTTGCATTGCATAATCGGGCGGACGGCCTACCTACTACTCGATGAGCACGACGTGTAGAGTAGCCAATAAATAAATATAAATAGCAAAACCAGAAGAAATGCGTGAGCACAGACAGAACGCAGAACAACAACAAACAACCAACACACAAACAAGCTGTGGAAGTGGAAAGGGAAATGGTGATGGTAATGGGAAGGGGGTAGCTGGCGCGAAATGTGTAAAAATCAGATCGATGACCGCCGCTGACTGAGAGGCGGCCGAACGGACGCATGAATAATGAGCAAATGAGTGAGAAAGAGAATTACAGGGGGCAACCAACCCAGACAACAAATCCTCCATTATCCCCCACCCACTGTTTACACTTACCTCTGGAATTGGTGGCCGCATCGGCTATCTTCTGGAAGGCATCCAAATAGGCGGCAATTGCCTGTATGGCAGCCCTGTAAGCAGATAATAAACATAAATATAACAGCATTATTACTAGTGTGACAAGCAAGGAGAATCTAATAAGCATAAAATATTCTCAACTACTTTCGTGGGCGACATTTCAATTGAGAGACATTAAGAGAACCGAAAAGAGACAGCTGCAGTCTCGCTGCTCACAAATAAGAGAAGAATGAATGTGGCTGGAGTGCGGGCCGTTTGAGATTTGAAAGTACCCTGGAAGATTACTGTGGAGTGGGGTTCTATGTTACACGTTGCTAGTAGTGAGCATTTAAGCTGAACAGGCGCACCCTCTTCGAGGGTAGCAAATTATGCTGGTGTCGGGCGACAGCCTCCCCCGTTTAAGTGTGTCAAGCGCAATGGGCAAGCCACGCGGTGCGAGTTTTGGCAAACACTGACGTTCCCCACACCTCGGACAACATGATTTGAGGTAATGATTAATGCAATCCGCATGTGTGTGCATATCTTAGGCACATACATTTGTATCTACCGGTGCCCAGACATTGCCCCGTCCGTCCCCAAATCGAATTTGGGCCAAGTCTGAGGCATAAAAACGGAAAAAAGCAACAGAGAAAGAAAACGAAATAAACAAAATACGGCAAGATGACGGCGTCGGTGGTCCACCAATAAGCACAGAAATAATCATGTACTATGTACATTTGGGGTATTCGTTCAACAGATTTAGATTGGCTCCAGACTCAAATGCAAATCCAAATATCTGGCTGGAATATCATATCACACATTATGTGTGTATTTTGAAGCCATTTCGTTTGTTTATTGGGAAATCGGAAGGCGTCTAAGCAAAAATTGAGGTAAATAAAAAGTTTGTTTATTTATTCTGGGTTCCGTTGCTAAAGTTTTGCAATCGCAATTTGTTTGGCTCTCCACTCCATTCGGTGGTGTGGAAATCTCCTTCGTAGAATGATTTCCCGCATTGGGAAATCTGTTTTACTCACCTCAAGCATGTGTGTAATTTGCTGGCCTTTGCCACGAAATCATCCCACAGTGGAGAAGTATTCTGCAAGAGAGACGAAAGAGAGAGAGAGATGTTTATTTAGTTGGCTGGCAATCAAACAATCGAAGTAAACTCTTAACCCAATGAAATATTGATGCGGCAAGTGGCCCGACTTAAAGGCAAGTAAAAGTCAAGGAAAAATCAATAAAAAGAGTCAAAGACCGAAGAGCCAGGGAATGCAATAAACTTGTCATCTATGTGGAAATTACTTTCGGATGACATATCAAGACAAATCGGGCGTACGTGTTACATAAAAAGGTTTCCCTTCCATCCATTTGGGACACAGCTCAATGGCAGAGATGAGATGGTGATCCATTTTGGGTTCGCCTTTGGCACATTTCAAATCCCATTATCTCGCACAAAAGTTCAAAGTTCAAACTGCGCTGACATCTCGCCATCATCATGATTTTTCGCTCGGATTTAATCTAATTGAGTTTGACTTTTGTTGTCTGTGCATTTCATTAAATCTGAATAAAGCTCACAAAAAAAAAAAACACTGGAATAAAAAATGGAAAGTTCAACGAATAGCTGACCCCACACCCAGTGTTAAATGCAGTTAGTAAGCCAGAGAGAGATGCGTATAGAGGGTACATAATATAATCGAATTGGGGAGACAGTCAGCATATGGTGCGACACCACAGGATATCATCGGGGGACTATTTAATGTAATTATCTTCCTGCCAGCAGAGTTTGCTAATTACATTTCGTTCATTTCAATACCCTGAAAAAGGGAGGTACAAAAATAAATGCGATTTCAATGCTACGAATGCTATGTACCCTTGCTTTTCTTTAACCATTAACTTGGCTGCCTTTTTTTTTATATATTTCAAGGAAGCTTTAATCACATTAAAGGTGTTAGAGCGTGGGCAGCTGATGCTCCTCCAACTCCCTTTCAAAAGTAAAATAACATAATAAGCTTTTCATAATTACTGTTAAAGCACATGATCCATACTCCCTAATCCGTTACACCACCCCACTGACAACATTTTTGTTCGTTCTCTTTTGTGCCGCAGCGTAAGCTACTTTGAGAGCGAGAGCTTAAGAGAACGCACCACGGATGCTGCACTGTGGGTCGCTCACAGCCGTTTGGCTCGCAAAAAATCTTCTCCAGCTACGTATTTGGTCAAAACCACAACAGCTGCTGACCAAGGCTGGCGAAACGGCAGCAAAATTGTGAAGCGACAAAAGCCATAAAAGGCAACTAAAGATTTTATGTGTGTGTACGACAGAATCGACAGATATGTATACCTAATATCAAGTAAAAGAGCCACGAAATGGTCAATAAAAAGTGAAAACGGGTTTTCTTGTTGCCTTTGGGGCATTTTAATGTTTCAATTACACAACAAATGACATTGAAAGTGAGTGGCCAAACGAGGAAGAGACAATTTGCTGACCAAGAGACACCCGCCATAAAAACACAGAAGAAGACGATGGGATGGACCCATTCATGCCCATTTCCATTACCCATTACCCTTGCTAGAGCCAGACATCAGCCATCAGGCAAAAGTCAAATGCAATTCCATTTCACTTTTAGTTTTGGCGCAATCAACCACGAAATGAAGTAAAACGAAATAAATTTAAATAAAAGCAAGCAAAATGTCAATTGCAAAATCGATTTGAATGCAAAAAGGCCCCGAAATGTAGCTCCGGCTCTGGGCCAGGCCAGGCCAGGGCAATTGCATAAACAAAACTCTGACGGTGAGTGCATTGGACCTGGCCAAAAGTCGAAACGGGCCGCGGCAACAAAGGTGAAACCGGGAAAAGCCAAAACAAACAGCAAAACGGAACGGATATCGATTTTTGGCTATTTTCTGCAAGCTTTACGTTTAACCCCGCAATAACAATAAAAGTGCACAAAAAATATTTAAAAAAAAAATCAAAAATTATTGTGCCTACATTTAAATGAACTTCTGGGGACAATAATAATGCTCGCATGCACAAAATATGCCACCCTCAAGAAGAGAAAGAGAAAACAAAAATTAAAAAAACGAACTTTAACAATCAATAAAATGTACGCTGCATTATGTACATGTAAATATGTATACATAAAAGTGCTTGAATTCACATTCATAATTACATACAGCTAGAAATTCCATGTTGCTTGGAGACCTTGGCGTAGTCGTTTTCCTATGCCAAACTTTTGCTACGCTGCTCTCACATCCACTCACCCCGAGAAGCTCCAGGTTCGGCATCTCGCTCTTACGATCCTCTCTTACTCTCTTAACAAAACGATTACAGTGATGGGTTAAGCAAATGAGAAGAAGAACGGGAACACTGAGAACAATTCTCTTTGTCAGTGCATGGAAAACAATCTGATGATCCAAACATTTATATGAAAGAATTTGTTGTAGTTTCGCAATCAAACAAAACCAAATTAGTGTTGCCTTTATTCGTCAGTCGGTTTTTCGTACTTCCTCTTCATATTTATGTACATGTGTACATAGCATGCATGAGTGTACATATGTGTGCACCTCGGCCTCCCCTTCCTTCCACAGATGAACCATATTTGGCACACGTTCGCGTGCAATTTTCACGATTCCGGCTCCCTTTCAAATGTCAGACCACATGTGGAGCGGTCTCAACGTGCAATTAACCCAACCCCAAAAGTGGCTTACAACCAGAAATGTATGGCAGAAATCCACAATTCCAAGTGATACATATTTCAGATCATTAGGCAGAGAAACTTGCTAGAAACTTGGATTCATTAAAAAAAACTCATTCAAGATCAAATTTCTCCAAGACCAACGTTAAGTTTCATTAAGAATGCCGTGGGTGTGTGGGTTCGGAACTAAAGCAACAAAAAATATTCAATATTTCAGCTCAAGGCAGAAAAAAATCAATAATTTCCATAAACTTTTAAGCTGGATTTTTTCCAAAATATTAAACAAAGTTCCACTTCAAATCGCAGCCCACACAAATGATTTAGGTTGTAGTTGTTTTTGCAAAATAATTTATCAACTCAAGTGTGTGTGTGTGTGTGTGTGTGTGTGTTTGTGTGTGGCATGGCGTGGCGCAACCAACATCGAGCGACAACTTGATAAGCGTCTTTTGCCCCGTCTGCGTGGGCCACCAGCAAACTTTTTATGAATGAACATTTTCGGTTGTCATACGGCCAAGGAGATTGCCGCCAGCCACTAGGCAACCCAGGCGGACCCAAACACGCAAAGCTGTCATTACATTGACCAGAGCCCCCCGCCCCCCAGAGCCACAAGCACCAAGCACGCGTTGGCGTTGGCTCAGGAGAGCGGGAGAGCGAGTCAGCTCGAAACTGCGCTTATGAATGAGTGCAGTGCACAGATAAGCCGAAAGGGGGGGGAGAGGGAGGCATCATGGCAGGTTGTCAAAATTCCCTTTAACAGAAGCATCCGCTTGGTTTATGTACTCTCAAATAGTTTGACTCTATTAAAGTTAAAAGACTAACCGAATCTGTGCAAAACACTTTCCAGTTCTTCGCAGACGAAACTGTGGGACGTAAGCAGCCAGCAATGAGTGCAATGTATCTATGCCTATCCCTCTCTCTCTCTCTCTCTCACTGCCTCTCTCTCAGCCACTCTTCCTCCTCTGCCATGTGCATCCATTTATCTTGGCAAACTGACGCTCAGCTCGGCTCTGCTTGGAGCGAGACACCTAAAAACCCACAATTTATGCCAGTCACAGACTCTTACAGCGAAAAATAAAAATAAAACTGGAAAAGTTCACACACACACACACACACACACACAGAGGAACATTATAGACTCTTGATCTTTCCAATAGCCTACAAAAGCAACCTACACGAAGCTGACTCCTCTCTCAGCTGGTTCACAGCCTCATTCATGCAACAATTTCTGGTTGCTGTTGCTGCTGCTGGTTGCTCGTTGCTGGCTGCCGTGTCTGTTTCGCTGTCACCGTTTGATAATGCCCCAAAGATTCCCCCCAGAGTCCACAAAGAGGCGGAGCACTGGGGTTGGCCAAAAACGGGTTCAGACTCTCGTCCTACATAGCACATTTTGGGTTAACAAAAAACAGCAACAGCAAAAAGTGGTTCCTTATGCAAAATCTAGCATAGAGTCTGTGCAGAAGTTTTGCACTGATTGATTTTTCTCTAAGATCCAACGTACTATATATGAAATTTAGCTTGGGGCCATAATTTCGCAGGCGGATCGCAGGAGGAGCGGCGCGGTGGGGCGCTGCAAAAGTCGTGCGCTGCTAATTTGCACCTACAAAAAATATAACTTCAGCTTTAGAAAGTAGAAAATTATGCGGCAGGAATATGAAATGAAAGTGCTGCTGCTGCTGCTGCTGCTGCTCCCTGTACGAAGGGGGCAGCAAATTTTTGTACTTTTGTGTTGGAAGACAATCGATTGGATTGTAGCCGTTGCGAATCCATCAATCGATACTCGGCTCGACTGCCAATCAACGGAGTAATTCAATAACTGTCAGACAGGCAGACAGACAGACAAAGTTTTGCTGCATTTGCATGTTGCGCTTCTAACAATGTGACCCCAAAAAGACGCTGAGCTGACTCCGAGAGTTTGTAACCAAAGAAGCAGCTTGCAACATGCAGCCAAGCGATATGGCAACCGCAACATGAACGCAAGTAACAGCCAACGCGTGCCACAAACCGCAACAAAACAAAACGGAACAAGAAATCACAATGGAAATTGCCAAGACCCTGCCACGAAAGGTAAAACCAACTAAAGGAAGGAACAAAACACTCAAGTTGTGTGCCTGGCAATTGGTTCTTTATAGCCCAGAAGCATGTTGATAAAAGTTGCATTTACTAAGCTAAGAAACCCGTAAAAATATAAACCAGCGACAGCCGCTTTTCCTGCAGCGTTCGCTCTTCAATTTTTCAACTTTTCAGCCTCGCCTCTGATTTCGAAGCAAACACCCGGGCCGCGAGGTACATTTTTCTCATCGAATGCCTCAAAGCTGATGACCGTTTTATAGCGTCCTTGCAGGGTGGCACCCCGTATGTTCCTCAGAATCAGTCGCATTACAAATGGCTCATGGATAAGGACGGTCTGAAATAATGCGCACAATCGTGAGAAGAGAGTGGGAAAAAACTTCCAATTGCTGGGGCTGACTGAAAACTTACACCTGCTTTTTTGATGCAATGCTGTTCTACCTCGTTGCGATTTGTGATGTGCACCGTCCAATACTTGTACCAATACTGATCCTTGTCGTACATAATGCTGCAAAAGTCCTGCGTGGCCATGGTAAACACAGTCGGCTCCCAGTTGCCCCGCTGGTACTGAAACAGCGCGAACTTGGCCTAGAAATGTTGGGTAGGGGTATACAACTTAGTGGTTTGGTTTGCTGCTCAAAATTACGGCTATGCGATCGGTGGGCTCTAGATCCCAGGTGGTGGTGGCATTGCCCGATACGTGCAGAGTGTTCGGCTCCTGTTCGACACTCAGTTTATCAAAATTGATGGCGTCACGAAAGAAGATTGTCCCTGGGGGTGCTTCGGTGCATCTCGCAAATATATCCGGATCCTCGAGCAGCAGTTCGTAGTCCGCGGCCCAGACACCAGCCAGACCCGCATGGATCAGAAATAATATTTTCCACATTTTGTGCAGTGCGAGGACTGTTGGTACGCTTTATATAGCCTCTTTGGGTTGTGTAAGCGGAAGTAGAGTCTGCTAATTAGCGGATTTAACTAACATAATCTAGAAACATAATCCCAGATGTCATCGCTAATCCACACGCGAAACAACAGGGAAATGCATCAGCCGGTGGAAGTCCAAAATGCATCACAAAATAACTGTAAGTAGCCGAAACCTGCAGAGCTTTTTTCTCCTTTTTCTTCGCTCTCTCGCTTCACACCGCCAATCTAAAGCTCTCTCTCTCTTTGCTCAACTTTCATTTGACTTTGAGCGACTGATTGAATTCAATTTTTGTTGTACAAAAAAACAAGAGAATAATACAAAAATGTAGCCCAAAACTATTTTGCATAATTGGGCGAGACGACAGTGTCACACCCACCATAATAATAATAACAATGATACACACAACAGCAACAACAGCGAAAAACAATCCCTAACAATATCTCGGCTTGTGTATCTCAAAATGCAATTTCATATTCATTAAAATTAATTGCTCCTTGATTGCCCGTTCGTTGTTGATGGAGCACAAATTTAACATGCAGAACACTCAAACACACAGACATATCCACAGTTCGAATCTCTACAGATTTAGCCTCATGCACAGCACAGCATGTCAAATGTGAGATGACATACCTAAGCGACAGGCAGACAGACAGAAAACAGGCAGAAAGAGAGACAGATGCAGCTAGCAGCAAGTCGTGTTTACGCCGCAATATAATTTAAGGAATAATGCAGAGTAATTAATACAGCTATCATCATACTTGGGGCTTCCCTTCTTCTCTTCCTTATTTTCTCTTCTCAGATTACCTTGGCTGCGTATGTGGGAGTAGGACAAAGCGATGCACTGCATGCCTTCACACATTTGTGAGAGAACTTCACCATTCACTTAACTGTAATTGAAGCTTCGCTAAGGTGTCCAGATGCGCAAGGGAATAAGCTATAGCTTAAGTACTGTCCACCCCCTTTGATTTGTTTAAAGCTGCTCTCTTAATTTACACTCTGAGAGCGCAAGCATTGGAAAGAGAGGAGAGGCTGGGTGCCTCCCTCTCCCTTTCTCTCACGGCATTACACTTGATCAGCAGCAAAGAGAGATTCGCACGTGCCTACAATAACTGTTACAGTAGAGCACATACAAATATGTGAACTAAAAGAATTCCATTTCCAGGCACTCATATGTGGGTGCTCCTTTTGTTCTTTCCGCTCTGAAGAACCTTGCACTAGTTAGCCATAGCCACAGCCTGACGGCATCATCCTTCTCACATCCTGTTAACCATAACACAACGCCACACAGAGTGCATTGTGAACTGTCGTTTCGATTTCCAGTCGAGAGGCATAACCTTGAATGTGGCTTTTAGACATTTTTTTTTTCAAACGAACAAACAATGCGAAACGGCAAGGGTGAGGGGGAGGGCGAGAGAGGAAAAGCTGTACACGATACATTGTCATAGAACTGGCAACACATTGCGTCAGCTGCGAATGCTGCCATAAATAAAAACTCATTAGCTCTGGTCTCTATACCTACAGACGTTTACTTACGCTTGTGTTTGTGTATGCGGGCGGGGGGTGTCTCTGTGTCTATTTCTATTCTTAAAACGTCTTAAAACCCACACAAAATCGAGATACCATAGCAAACTGAAAAGCTGGAACGGTTAAGCCTAAGGGCAAAGGTCACACCGGCTAAAATTAGGAAAACGTTCGAAAGAAATAGAGTTAAAATAAGAAGGAAAAGAGGAACAAAAAGTTGCGCCCAACGTGGGGCTCGAACCCACGACCCTGAGATTAAGAGTCTCATGCTCTACCGACTGAGCTAGCCGGGCACCTGAGAACGCTGAAACCAAAAGGCTGGCAAGATAAGAACGCTACATATATATGTACATGTGAAATACATAGGTACAAATATACTTAAATAATATGATTGAAAATTTAAATGCATAACCGGCATGCAACCTTGCACTCATAAAATATGCGTGAAATTTTCTTAAAATAACAGGTTGCTCATTTGAATTTGATTAGGTGATTAGCCCAATATTAGGCAAATGAATTGGAATGATACAATTAATTTCCACTTTAAATAAAATATATTAAAATAAATAACAAAAGAAAAATGAGAAAAAAATAAATGTCGCCCAACGTGGGGCTCGAACCCACGACCCTGAGATTAAGAGTCTCATGCTCTACCGACTGAGCTAGCCGGGCATGTAATTTGGGTCAAAATAATTATCTACAAGGAATATATTATGTATATAGTATACATATGTACATCTTTCTATAAATAGTTTTTGGAATTTTCCGAGCAAAGATTTTTCCTGGGATTTTATGGACATGCTTCTATGATTACTACCAGCAAAAGAGTAAGGCAGTTTAGAGCATAATTTAATCAACAAATATCGATAGACTAGCGATAAGTAATCCCAAAATTCCGAACAAAAAAAATGTCGCCCAACGTGGGGCTCGAACCCACGACCCTGAGATTAAGAGTCTCATGCTCTACCGACTGAGCTAGCCGGGCATGTGGGCGCGATCCGTACCCGGGCAACACCTGCCCGGGGGCTGACATGGATCGCAGTTCGTGATTCCTGTTTCGACTGCGCCACGATTTAAATATAGGGCATCAACCGAAAAGGGTTCCGGCAACGCCCTTTGCTGTTTTCCACTGAGCTGATACGATCGTTTGTGCAATTAATATTCTAGGGCTTGTGTATATAAAAGGGTCCAGGCAGAAAGTGCATTTCCATCGCGAAAAAAAATGTTGACCAAACGCAATTGCCTCTGGGTAGTGCTGCAGCTGAGTCTCGTCTGCCTGTCGAGGGCCATCGAGTACGAGTTCATACCGGACAAGGATGGTTTGTTTGTGCCCTGTGAGAATCATCCGGCCAAGCCGTCCGGCTTCGACGCCTTGCTGGACATGTCCCAAATAAAGGTAGCCGTGAAAGATGGCTCCACCTTACAAATGTCGGGAGATGCCGTGGTCGTGTGGCCGGGTGTAGAGCCAAGCGATACCGTAACGGTGGGTACTCAGAGTTCCCTTTGTACTCTTCCATTTATAACCTCTTCTTTTCAAGATTTTCGGACAAGTCTATCAGCACGAGCAGGGCACTTGGCAGAAGACAATGTTCTCGGCGGGCAGCAAGAACTTTTGCAAGAATATGTTCGAGAAGAACCAATATTGGTATACCTTCTGGACGAAGCACATCAGCAACTCGGATGACGTCAAGAAAACTTGCGTCAATACACGCGGCGTAGGAAAGTTCAGCGATCCATCCCGAACTTCTCTCAATCTTTCTCCTCGTTTTAGACCCTGCTGAAGCACGAGTCCTTTGAGCTGCCACTAAAGACCAATCTGAATGTGCCCAATCTGAAGGGACGCTACAAGTTGATGGTGCTCATTGAGGCCTTCGACAAGCGCAATGTGAAGCGCCCAGTGTCCGGTTGCACCGAATTTCGTGGCACAGTTCAAAGGGTTTAAAGGTTGCATGTGGCATCCGTATGTTCTACTATGAAATGTCATTAAAATGCTTCTAATTATATATGCATGTGGCAACAACAAAATACAATTAAAGTGGCGATTGCCATCGGCGCATCACAGAAAAAGAGTCCCCCAACAATGCCTCAGTCTATGATGGCACACCGAGAGGATAGCAAGAAGGAAACGAAGCACGACTGGTGGGCCGAGCTCTGTGATGCGTCGGCCGTGCATGGTATGCCATATTTGGCCAGAAGGGATCTGCACTGGGTGGAGCGTCTCTTCTGGCTGCTGATGGTCCTGGCCTCGGCGTACTATGCCATCAGCAGCTGCTACTCGCAGTGGGAGCGTTTCCGCAATAATCCAATTGTCTACGAGTACGAATATCTTTTTGCGCTGCGTAACTTTACCTTCATTGGGCTGACGTTCTGCACGAATTACGAGTCGGAGGAGCAGGTGGCAAAGTTGATTAAGAAGTGAGTAAGGAACTCTTACAACTCCATTTGTATTCCCTTTTGCTTTACCCTCCAGCACCTGGTCGGTGGATGCCACGCAGGACCCCGTCAAGGCCGCCTATTACAAGGATTTCCTTTATGTTCTGAATCGTTTGCGCTACAATAACATGGAGACACTGAAACCCTTTGAGAACGACAGCACTCTGAACGATTTGGCCTATGTGGATATGCTGCTGCAGCTGCAGGAAAAGGTTCTGCCACCTCCCAAGCCCGTGCTCATGGCGCCCATTATCACGGAGGCGGGTCTGTGTCAGACCACAAGCCAATTGACACGCTATGGCAATCCCTATGGGCAGATGTGAGTAATCTGATTTTTGTGCGCTGATTTCTGCTGCTTATACAATGATTTGCCAGCCAAAGCCTCAATGTAACACCTTTGCGGCAGTGTGGCTTCTTCAATGAATGTCAGTTCATGCACAAACCCTTCAACAGCATTCAGACGCACGTTTATCTGGTGAGTGGATAGCCTCAAACTTGCTTGCATGTGCACTCCACATTGAGGAAGTTGCTTTTGTAGTTTCTGCACGATGTCAATGAACTGATGCTGCCCTTAGATCGACGCACTGTCTTCTTTGATGCCAAGTCGAAGAGCTCCTATGTGCTCAAGCTGCTGGTCAGCTCCATTTCGGCGGACAGGGAAGTGCGCAATCTGCCGTTGGCCTATCGCAAGTGTCGCTACAACGATGAGAACAATTTGCAGTACTTTAGCGTGAGTTTTTTAAGCAGTTCCTTCCCATTTCTGTTATTTCTCTGTCTTAGCCTTACCATCCCAGTCTGTGCCGCCTGGAGTGTCGCATCAATTGGGCCCAGAGCCTGTGCCACTGCAAGCCCTTCTTCTATGCCGCTGCCCCACAGGTGCCCATCTGCAATGTGACGGGCATGCTGTGCCTGGCCGAATCCAACTGGCTGGCAAAGCCCTGCCACTGCTTTGCCCTGTGCCGCGAGACAACCTACAGCATCATCGAGGAGTACGAACAGAGCGGCGTGAGTGCGGCGTGAGTAAAAATATCTATAAATATTTCCACAACTCTCTCCTTTGCAGGGCGATCAAAACTATGTGGGTGAACAATTCGAGCGTACGATCATAATTAAGTTGGAACTGCCCAAGATGGGCATGAAGCGGCGCGTGGTCTTCAGCACGGATCAGCTGATCATGTCCTTTGGTGGCGCCATTGGCCTGTTTCTGGGTGCCAGCTTTATGACCATCTATGGGCTGATTTATTTATTGATCCACTTTCTGGTTGTGCAATGCAAGTGTCGAAAGAAAGTTTTTCAAACTTAAGAAACACATTTTATGGGGCAAAATTTAAGCTTGAACTTAAAATAAACATTTTCAGCTTTCGCTATGTCATTGCACAAATAATTTCGAAGCTTTTAGCTAGTCTTTGGCTAACATTAAAACAAAACAAGAATATTTAAGAGCACACAGCAGACATTTCCTTATGGCACGTACAATTAGCAGGAGACATCAAGAAACGGAATTGTTGTCGGCTTAATGGCATCAAAGTGGTTATGGCCTGGCCAAGAGCATCATAAAAGAGAGGCCCTAAAGGGGGAAGCCACAAAAGTGGCAACTTAGCGTTGCAAACGAAAGAAAGTCATGCCACATACGGTCCCCGTTCCCCCCTCCCATACGGTTCAGAGCGCAGGGAAATTTTCACTTTTTTGTGAGGCAACTGCAATGGAAAATTACTTTAAAGCGGAGATTTCCTTTTGTCAAATGTGACAAAGTCCATGGGCTCCAAAGGGGGTTTACGACTCTCTGTGGGTGTCTTCACTTTACACACATTCGGGCCACACTCTTGGCCAAAAGCCGAGTGCAGTCAACGAAGCAAAACGTTAGTTGCTTCGCGTATTATTATTGTGTAAAAGTGAACAACCTTTAAAGTTTTGCCTAATTTTAGATGATTTTTTGATGAAAACGCTCGTTAATTGCCGCCTGGCAGAAGCCGTTAGAAAATCCATATCATAAATGAAATTAGCAAATAATTTAAAGAACAATAAACAGAAGAAAAACATAAGTTCCAAGAATCTATCTGTTTCTGGCATAAATTTGTTCTGGTCTGTTGCCAAAAAATAAATTAAAACCAAACGCCAGACGTGGAGTCAGCCAAGCAATTAAAATGGAACTAATTTTAGTGTGGTGAAGTGCGGCATAGATCGCGCTCTCTTTACCTCTCTTCCGCTCTCTTCCGTTAGTTTAACCTTTCGGCACATCCCCTCTCTCGCTCTCTCCTCGAGCTGCACTTTTGTGACATTTACATTGGCATTTGGCAACTTTGTGTGTGGAGAGAACAATAACGAACCGCAGCCAGCAATCTTTAGCCATGAATGAGGACAAGCAAAGCAAAGAGGCAAGAATTACTTGGTAAGATGATCCACACACAGACACTCTGGCATATATTGCACATGTTCTCCTCTCAGTATGTGTTTCTGCTCTAGTTCACACTCAGGTTGAAAATGAGAGAGAGAGAGAGAGAGAAAAAAACAGCCAACAACGTCTGCACAATTGCGTGTTGAACAATTTCCAAATTTCATAAATACCAAATGCACTCGCCCGCAACAGACAACCGCAGCAGACAACAAAAACAACAACAGTGATTGCTCTGCACGCTCTCCGCACCCTGCTCTCCAGACCAAAAAGCTCACTCTGAGGGCAAGGTGTACATTGATGCATTGGCATTGGGTATGGCCCTTGCGCTTTGTTTCTCTTTACTCCTCTGTGCGGTATCTTCCGAAATTCTAAGAGAGAGATCACTGGGGAGCAGGCTTCACCTTATGTTAATACACTTTGCCTTGCGAGTGAAGTTTTAGATGAATTTCCTTATATTAATAGCTGCAACAGCAGGCGGGGCACAAGGCGGCACTTCTTATCTTCCTTCTTACGATGCTTACTCCTACTCTACTCCCTCTCTTTCATCTTCATTCTCCTCCGACCAGCCGCTAGTTTATTTTCGGTGCAGACGCAACAAATTCCAACACCTGTCCACAGAGCAATGACGGACATACGCAGCAGCTGCTGGGTGCGGGATGTGCTGAAAATGTAATTTTCGTTTCCCCTCCACACACTCAGAATAGCAAATGAAGTAAGAGGAAAGGGAACGGAGGGAGGAACTGTCTCAGAGAGTACAACTGGAAATGCTCTCACCATGGGAGGGCGAGGGAACAGCTGAGATGAGATCAGCATTCCAGTGCATGAGCAGATCATTGTGACTAATGTGATAATGCGAATAGTAATAAATGACGAATGAATGTTAATTAATTGTATTAAAAAAGAAAACTTAGCTGAAACTGGTTTGACGAGAACTAACAAGAGAACTTCCATTCACTTCCACATAAAATAAAGGAAATACTCGCCCCATTAGCAGTGCATAAATATATTCGAGGATGAGCCTCACCCAGGGGAGTGATGTTGATGAGGAAGCATGGGCAGCAAAGTGCTTCCGAGTGGGTATTCTAATGTATTACCTGCTTTAAATGCATGCCATTAAGTTCCTAATCATTGGCAGCTGTCAGTAGTTCATCCAGTCCAACCCAACCCAGCAGATGCCCTACCCAAAGCCAGCACTCGGCATTCATTTAGTCTTGTTAAATGAAATTGCCTCGATCCGTGCTCCATGTTATGTAAGCGCAATAAACATTTTTACTATGTACGAAAGTAAGTTGCCTCAAATGGCGTCATGAGTGCTATAAATTATTGATACCACACAATAGACACTTGGCAATAAAATCAATTAATGATAAACGAAAAAAACCAACTGGAACAACAAAAATTGCGCCCAGCATCGTTTCGTCGTGAGGCTTTAGATAAATGCGAACAAAATGTGCGGAATTTTTGTCTTGTCTTGTTTGTCCTTTTGGTATTTTGTAATTAAAGTGCTGTTTTTCGCCACTAAAACAATTAGAAGAAAACAGAAGTCGAAAATCGCATTTCAAATTGCAACTTTTGGTCTAAACAAAACATTTCTTTTGCCTTAATTTATGAGTTTATATCAAAAGTGAATTGTTTCTCTGTCTGACCTTGCTTTTAGTTGTATTTGTTCTGCTCTTTTTCTCTGTGCTTGAGGTTTTTGTTTACACACGAGAGAATTCCGGCCAAATGCTGAGAGTTCTTGACACAGTCTCACAGAGACAATTGGAGACAATGAGAACAAGTTACAGCAAAAAGCAGAAAGCAAAAGCAAAAGCACTCGTCATTAATTCATTTTGTTTATTTTCCGAATGAGTTCTTTGAGTGGGTTCTAAAGCGACGGAGAGACAGCGAAAGTGTGAACGGAGATTTCCCCAAAAATGCATATAAAATTCCCAGAACCGAACCGAACCGAACTTTCTGTCGAAATGTTCGGCGTGTTTGAAAATGATTTTGAGTTTCCGCTGAAAGAGGAACAGAACTCACCTTCATGTCATTGATAATCTGTTGGAACAGACTACCCAGAGCAGAGCTATCGCGTTCCAGACTTAGATCCATGTTTCCTAAGTAATATTTGACTCTTTTGCTCTCCGATATGGTTAGGTCGATCGAATTTCGGATTTCGGATTTCGTTATTCGTTCAGTTCTTCGCTCGATTTTGTACAGATTTTTTAGACTATTTACTCGATTACTCTTTGCTTCATTTTGATTGGAAAAGCCAAGCTGATCTGTAATAGAAGAATAAACATGAGGAAAACATTAATGTTGGTATGTATAAATAGAATTGTTTAACAAACTAATCTACAAGCACTTCCGAGTGGAAATCTGTGTCATAAATTCTCGTTTACGCTGCTAAGGCGTGTCCGGGAACGAGCTCTCGTAAATAATCAAAGATGTAAAATGATGTCTTTGCCAACAAGAAATGATGCTTAATTATGACAGATGGAAAGCGTCGTGAGTTTTCCCTTTGGCGTAGGCGCAAGCCAGCATTGGGACTGGACTGGCTTTGGGGATTGTTGACCCAAATGTGAAGAGCTAGCAGCTATCAGTTCTGTGATTTATTGGTCATGCAGTGGGCCTAATTGTTAATTATTAATTATTAATGGATAATTGATATGTGGTGAGGGTTGGGCATGCACTGTCCATCCACAGGAAGTTGCACAGCATAAACACAACTTAACATTGAAGAAGCACCCAGACAACCTGAGGCCCATACAAACGACTTTCATTAGGGGAAGTGCAATAGTTGCGACCCATTTGTAGAGCTCCCCCCACACCCACACTCACAACAACTCAACTTGGGCACGGTACGTGTGTCTGCTGGAGTGCGTTCTCTGCAAGTTTTATGGGTTTCGAAAGCGCGGCGCTGATAAAGAGTAACTAGATTTCCAAGCCTTGAGAGCAATTAGTGCCTGAGAGGCGTCAAATGTGTACAGATAGATATTCAGAGTCAAGTTGCAGGCATTAACCTTCGACCGGGGGCCCAAAGCTTGGAGCGAGTCTCAAGCTTTAATGGCCACAACTCAAGTGAGACTTGCACTTGAGGCCAGGCCAACATATCTTACTCTTTTTGGGCTGATTATGACATTGACGGCGACTTCAAGTGAAGTTCTTACACAAATTTATGTATTGAGGTATCTTTGTGTGTATGTAGTGTGGTTGTGAACATCATCAATGCATTCAGAAAGCGTCCGTCCACAATAGATACTCAAGCGTGAAGGAAGACGCCAAGGCACACAAATGATAAAAAGCAACAGCCAACGGAGTGCTGATTGCCCAGACTGCGTATCTTTTGTCTATGTGTCTGCGACTGGTGGGCATTCGTAGAGAAAAGCATCAGAGCTGCGTCAAAGAACAAGTCGTGGCAAAAGAAAGAAGGAAAAGGCAACCCAGAAAGCAGGGCCCGGCTGGTGTTGGGTCGAAGCGTTGCATGCCCTGCAACGTGTGTTCACATGTGCTTTACATAGAAAATTGAAATACAACATAGCTGTTTACCAGCAGAAAGAACTTTTACTAGACTCTACTTAAACAGCGGCACATTAACCCATCAGAATGCTTTGCCTTTATCTTTGATTTGGCAAATCACAGCCCAAGCCCCGCATACCCTCTGCAAAAAGGGTAGGCGCAAGGCGCGCACAACAAAGGCGCAGCGAAAAGGCAGACGCACTCACACAATCACACACACAAGAGAGAGGAGCGGAGCAAAGCACAGCGAGTGGAAGTACTAAGCAAGTAGACCTGCATCTCTGCTGTCCCCCCTCCCCTCTCTCTCTCTCACTCTCCTTCTCTTTGCTTTGCCTTAGTGGAATAGTAGTGTAAATGACCTCTCGAGATAAAATTGTGGCCACAAAGCAAACGATGACAGGCAGGCATCGCTGCAGCTGCGCTGCTGCTGCTACGGCTGCTGCTCTGCAGTGCTTGGCAGAGTTGCAATTTCCTTTGCAGTGCGGAAATAAGTTGTTTTTGTTTTTCTTTTTTCTTTTTTGGCAATTGACAGACTTAAATCTGGTTTTCATATAGTGTTTGTATGTATTTGTATGTATGCCATGGATATACAAAACATTGACCCAGTTATCATCTGGTTGCACTTAAATCATAAGCCTACAACTGGTCGAGCGAGTATGTATAGTAAATATCTGCATAATTCCTTATCCACGGCGGAAGCAGTCGGCTTTTCTCAACATGAGAAGATAAACGCTCTGGTTGCTTGGGAAATCCAGAGCAGAGGCCAACAAATCAGGCCTGGGGTTGGGGTCAGCCCCTACTGCAGATCGTGCGCTGACCCCACGGACTGGGGGAGGCCGTTCTTTTGGCAGTAGCCAAATTACCAAATCGTGCATTAACAAAAACAACAGAGCAGAGGCAAAGGCAAAGGCACCAGAAAAAGTCGCTTCCCAACAGGAAAACAACAATTTCGCAAAGTAGTCAACGAAAGAAGAAGCAAAAGAAGTGCAAAAAAAATACAATGGGAACCAGAAAGGAATGGAGGGTTTAAAGGCCCTCACTTTAGATACCCTTACAATTGGGAAGCATTTTCTCAAAGTTGATAACATAAAATTGGAAGTTCTGGAATTAATAGGAATATCTTTAGAAACGTTTTAGAACGGATCAGGAATTTATTTACAAGATGACACGATTTCTGTGTGTAGTAAACTACCTTCTCTCAGAAAGGGTATAACAATGAGAACTGGAAACTCTCAGAGAAGGGATCTCTGGAATAAGCCCGCATCACAAGACTCACACACAAATGTCAAGTTGATGTTGCTTTTGTTGGTGTTGTGTGTGGTGTTTGGTGTTTGGTCTGGGATGCGTTTCAATTCCAACTACGCATAATTTTCCGCCCTATTTACTCTCTCGCACACTCTCTTTCTCCTTGTGGCTGTGGTTTTACTGAGATTTCTGTTGAAACAGAAGCGGAAGCTGGCGTTGTGGGGTAAAACGGAGATTTGTATACACAACTCCGCATGTCTTGTTGCATGTTGCATGGATTTCTATTACAGGAAGTGACTTGACTGACAGTCTGAGAGCCAGCATCAGCCCCAGAGATGCGGCGGTGGCAAATGCTGCCAGACACTTTTGTCAAGGGCGACAGAGCTGATGCTGTTGTTGTTGTTGCTGTTAATTGCTCACCCAAAGATGGAGACACACGCACCGTTTTATCCACTCTCTCGCTATCCCTCTCTCCTCTCTCTCTCTCTCTCTGGCACTTTTAAGAGCAGCGTAATTATGCGTAAATGCAGATGAGTGAGTACTTTTAGGGTGGACCAGCAACGTGTCCGTGTCTGGGCAACAGCTCTGCAGACTAAGGCTTAGAGCTTGAGGAAATATTTATCCATGATGAGGCAGCAGAGGAGGGGAACTAACATTTTTAATGGCATTTCTTGGAGCAGAGTATTTTAATGACTAAGAAAATTCTTGGTATACAGCTCATTTCGTTTAAAAATACAAATCAGCTGATAAACCAATCAAAACAAAAACTATTGTAGGTATGAGCAATATGTTGGGCACGATATGAGGCAACATTGCGGTTGGTTTTAAACTAAGGAGTGGTCAGTGTTTAAAAGAACGACAAAAAACCACTTGGAAATAGTATTCTTATCGGTGTTAAACGGCTTTCAAGCTTAAGGATCTTTCACTCCTAATTTATGATACATTTCACATAGAGAAAATACTTTCAATTCGTCAGTACCTCCATCGCTTTAAGTCTTACAGATAATCCACTGCTGAACACTTTCTTATCCACTCCATCTATTTATGTACGAATGTTTGTCTTTGGTTCACCCTTGTCCCCATAAGTTCTAAGGGGATTCCGGTTAAACAAATAATATTACAGCTGCAGAGAAGGCTACAGATAAGTATGGAGACGGGAGAGAGCGAGAGATCTCCTATGAGTCTTGGGCTTTTGCCGGATTTATGTGTGGATGGTACTGGAAAAGATGTCTCGTCTCTAATGCCGCACGGTAAACGATACTTTGTTGGATGGCAAATTGTTGTGCATCCCATGACTTTACACTTTCACCGACAACACAAAAATCCAACTGCGAGCCGACTGTGGTCAGCCAAGTGTCGAGATGTCTCGGCCCTTGGTCTCTGGCATCTGTGGGTCTGGGCTGGATCTGGAGTCTGGCTCCACTCACGAGCCAGTTGGGAAAGCGAGATGCTGTGGGCTGTTCGAAAAGAACCCATAAAACGATGATGATAATCTAAAGATCAAGTTTTGTACATTGTCTATGAACAAAATCAACAACGTCACCACGCACACATCAACATGTATGTGTTGTTTTTATTATCTATCTATCTATGTGTGTGCTTTTCTATCTTTAGCGTCATCTGTGCTTTGCCTTGCATTTTCATTCCATTTGATGTTTTTTCTCTGCTTCATTTTGGGCTTTGGTGAGGGCATCTGCTTTTCCTCTGCCGCCACAGATTCACCCACACACACACGCAGTCTCGCAGTCTCGTATGGCACGTCATTAACCCAAATTGTCTATGAATAAAATATAGCGCAAAAAGGAAAATACTCAATGTTTATGGCGGAGCAATATTGAAGGGGATTCGGGGGTTCCCAATTAATTGAATAGTTCGCAGCTCATTTTGAGGGCCTGCTGCTGAAACGCGTTCAATTTATTGGGATAATTGAGGCTGTTACGAGACCTGATAACCTGATTGATAAGGTTGCTGGTTCTGGCTCTGCTATGGTTGTGCTTATCTAATCAGCAAGGAGGCACAATCGATTTGTTTTTGCCCCACGTGTTGCAACACAAACTATCGATCGTTGGTTATCAAAGAACAGTAGCACAAAAGTGGGAGAGAGAGCGAGAGAGTGTGGGAGGCAAAAAAGTAGAACAGAAAACATAAATATTTCGCAACAACAAGCGCCCACAAATCTGTAGACACCACAAAACACATGCGAGGAGTGTGTGTGTGTGTGTGTGTGTGTGTGCTGTTCCCTCTGGAAATAAACTTTCGGCATTTAGCCGCGTTTAATCGATTTGTGCATCAAATTATGTCTGTACATGTGTATGTTTACACATGGCGAGCTAGAGGCTAGAACAAAAACTTTTCCCCACGCCAAAGCATAGAGAGTGAGAAATAGAATTGCCTTACAGCATGTTTTGGGCTATATTAAGAGATTTTCCACACGCATGATCATGATAAATCGATGAAATTAGCATCAGCTTGTGGGAAAACTTGTTAGAATGTGAAAATATTTCGCACACAAATGAAAAATGAACTTGCAAAGTCACAGAAAAATATATTCTTCTGTTTGCTTGAATACCCATTATCAATATTAGTGGGAAAATAATTCGCATGACCTTTAACTATGAATAATTTGTGTCTAGCCAAACCTTAGCCACATATAATACTTCTAGGAGAGGCTCAAGAAAATGTAATTTAGGTTGTACTTTCGGTTAATTTCTTTCTTATTCGCATATTTCTGTGTTCTGGCGTTCTGTTGCTATTCTGTTTTGTCTGCTTGTTACTCTTCGCATTCTTCCTTGTCTGCTTGTTGCTCTTCCCATTCTACTTCGCCCGTTCCCTTGCTCTTCCTTTTCCTAGTTGTCTGCTTGTTACTCTTCCTATTCTTCTTTGTCCGCTTTTAGCTTTTATTTTCTTGTTGGGTGCTAAGCAAAAGTGCCGTTAGTTAACCGGCATATGTATGGTCCAAGTGCTCTCGCACTTTTTCATGTCTCTTGTGTTGTTTGCCGGTTTCTTTTGTTCTTCTGTTGTTGTTCCAACTCCTGTTGGAAGTAGAGTATTGTGATTCCTTTACTTCGGTTGTGTTTCCATCTCCCGTCTCTTAGTTATTCTGCTTCCCCCATTTCACATTATTCTTTGAGTGCTTTGTAGCTCGCCAACAAATATTAATTTTCACCGCGTTTTTGTTTGTTTTGTTTTCTCCACGTTCTTTATGGCCTTTGCAGCGTTTTTTTCGCAAGCATAAGTAATGGGTTGGACCAGAGACTTCCTCAACCATTTTGGCTTTGATAATTTGCTGGTGCCAGGCTATAATTAATGCCCACGTGTGGGCAAAAGAAGGAAATCCATTAGTGTGTTGGTTTTAGAGCTGAACTCTTGACATTCTCTTTAGTTCTTGGCCACACGCAAAGCCCGAAAGACGATTCGACGCGAACTTTTCATTGCAGCAAAGCCAGGAAAATCGAAAGTGGTTACGAAATAGGCCAAAATGTCAGCACAAAAGGTGGGCGTGACTAAAATGCACACACATACAAGTAAATGGATTCACGCCTATCTATGAATCCATTCATACATCCAAACAGCCAAATGCACACCCATGCAGTCCACTAATCAAACGAAAACGAAATTCGTTTGCTGAGTGGGCGCCAGACAAACGACACAAACAACCGTTACAAACTGCAGCAGCAGCAGCGGGGGCAGTGGCGGTGGCGGTGGCGACTTCATGCAAAACAAATGCAGTCATTCAAACAGTTACTAAAAGCTTCGAACAAAAATAAGTGACTGAAAATATTCCCAGCCGCTTGTTTGATTTTCTTTGCCGGTAGAATTACAAAATAGTCACGGCAAAAGGTGTTCGGACAGGCTTGCAGTATTATCCAAAAATAAAATCAAAAACTAACGTATGCTGCATAATTAAAAATTACACGGCTGGCAAAGCAACGGTAAAAGCATCACAGAGCAGAGTTTACGTAAATGCTTTTTCGTTGTCTTAACTATGCCTCGTTTCGCTACTCCTGCTCTTCATTGCTCGTCGTTCACTAGGGTATGCTGTGGTTCTGAAGAAGTTGGTAACAGGCAAAAACCGATTTGAGGTGCAAAAAGTAACCCACGCAAATATGTAATTTACATTTTTGCCAAGCCTAAATTTCGCTTTGGTAAATTTATGTGTAGAAATATAACTGGGGTACACAGTGTATATAAAATACTTGCAGGGCATCCAATAGTCGCATAGGGCTAATCAAGAGAGAAAGAAAAGAATAGACTCGTCCAGCCTACTGTGTTTGCCTATGCAGCCGCCTAGGGAGCCTAGGTAGAGGGGCCTTTCTCCCCAAAGATACGATTATTTATATTTACTTGAGTGTGTGTTGTTTCCTTTTGTGCAGTCTTGTTTGCATTTTATTAAGACGCAAGTTTGCTGTTGATTCAGCGCAGGAGCTCAGGCAATGCCCGACAGCTGTTTGCGGTTAATTTTTTGTGTTCATTTTCATTTTTTCTTATTGTTTGGATTCTCTCGTGTTCTCTCCTTTTATTTTTGGCAATTCCGCCAGCAGGTGCGCCAGCATCCGTTGCTTTTCGTATTGTGTTACTCTAGGAACAGGTTGGCCGAGAATCAGATAACCCTAAGCCAACAATTTCTACTCTTTTGGTCAAGGCATCAACATCATCATGATCCAGGGGTAGACTTTCAAATTTTATTATTTGTATACCCTTACATGAGGTGCTTGCATTTCCTTGAGTTGAAATGCAATCCAGAGCTGCTACAAGACGAATGGATATGCAAGGGTATCAAAAGCTTCGGCCCCGTCTCTTGTCTGCATATGTGTGAGTGTGAGTGTGTGAGTGCATTGCTAGACATTCCAGGTGTATCGCTTTCGAGAGAAGACGAAACCTCTTAGCATTTGAATGTATACTCGTATTGTTGGGTACAAATGTGTTTAAATAAAAATGTGCGAAAAATTAATCAAGAATCACGAGCAGGCCCAGCCCAGAAACATTTGAAATGTGGAATAGTATTCAAAATAATTACCGCTTATCTCTGCCATTAGACAAAGAGAGCAAAGTCGTTTGAAAGGTACGCATACACACACACACACATACACATTAGCCGAAAGGGCGTCATGCAATTACAAACAAAAACGTGCGATAAGAGAGCATTAGAGAAGGAGAGGCAGAGACATTCCACACATAAACAGTTATTATTCTGATGAGTTTGGACGAGTGTCAACGTGCTGCTGCGGTTCCTGTTCCGATTACGGGCACCCTTCCAGCTGCAAACCAGAGCAGAACCAACCCCAAAATATATAAAGCTGACCCCAGCAAAAAGTCGGGTTTCTTTCATTGAAGATAACGGAAACAATTCAGGTAAAATCTTCAACGAAGATGAAGAGGGAGAAGAGGAGAAAAGCCTTACCCTGCACTTGCGCAAATAGAGCAGCAACAGACGGAAACTTCAAAAAGGGAGTACGTACGAGTGCTGTTTCGGTCTGGCAATGAAAGGAGTTTTCATGGCTGACTGGAATTGGCACTGGAAGACCTTGATGCTGCTGCTACTGCTATCCTCTTCTAACTGGAAGCTGTGAATACTTGTTGGTCAGGGAATGGAACTGCATGCAGCTGCCGCCACCCCCGCTCCCCCTTCCCAAACGAATCACTTTTATAATTAGCGCACTCCAAATGAGGCCAAGTGCTTTCTTGATTTTTTGTTGTGTGTTTTTTGTTTTGTTCTTGATTTATCTGCTCAACACACAAAGAAAGGGGAGAAGGAGAGCAAAGCAACACTTAAAGGATACTTACAATGCACTCTCCAAGCAGCCGACGTGCATCTGCTTTCAGCACACAAAAAAGTATCCCACGGAGCCGTAAATGCAGTCGTTTGTTTGCGTTTTCGGGATGCTGCCGTTGCTGCTGCAAACAATTAAGCGTTTCCTCCCCTTCGGACCATCCTGTGGTTGTTGTTGTAGCATTGCATTCCAGGCGGCAAAAGCGCACAAAGGAGTGTGTTCTCGTGTGAGTGTGCGAGTGTGTGTGTGCTCCGCGCTCTCTCAGCCAGCCCTCTCAACTGCTGCTCCTGCTCCTTGCTTTTCCTCCCACTCTCCTTCCGCCTCCTGGTTGGATGGTCTCTGTTGTTCAAACAAACTACCCCAGCGGCGCGGCCCCGTTGATCCTTTCCTTTTCCTCTCCTGTAGTTATTGTTGTTTTTGCTTTTGTTATACACTCACAGACAGGGGACACGCACACACACATACACTGGCATGGCAGACAGACGCTTAATTTCTGTTTGCCTTTGAAAATTGCATAAAATTATTCGCTTTTCTACTCGAAATCCGAACCGTACACTTTTTGCCTCCTCTCCTTGCACTTCTTCGGTTTTCGGTGATTTTTCTCGCGCACTTTTCACACTCCTTTTTTTTCGTCGGCCAGACAACAGTTAGCCGTGTGTTTAACTGTTATTCTTTTGCCTTATTATCGCTTTATTCTAATTTTTCAACTGCATTCTCGTTTTATTTCGTTTCGATTGCGTTTCGGTAACGACGCGACGATTCAGATTCAGATTCAGATTTTCTTATAGACAAACAAAAAACAGACAGCCCGCAACGGAGCGGCTCAGCGGCTCAGCGGCGTCAGGGTACATATACTCTATGAATAATACCGGCTGGCACTGTAGCACAATATTTTATTCAAATTTGCGGACTTGCCTTCTGAAAACTTTTGTTTTAAAAAATTGCGAATATGGGAACTACCTTTCTGAATACAATCCCGATTTTTTGTTGTTTTGGGTGCCGCGGCAGTGAGATTTGTGACCAGTGTGACCTCGGAATTATAGTACAAATATACCAACAGCCATAAAAAATATAGCCATATATACTTACTCAATTTAAAAAAAATACCCTGTCTTAATTCAAATTCCTCGATTTTGATGTTCTATTTGATCTTACTAGCTTGTCAAGACTTTCAACATTGCAACAATAGTTTAATCCGATTGAAGAAACAATTTTGATTATTATAAATACTCCTTTTTAATAGATTGTATACATTATGACGTTATATTTTTAAAATTTGTATTTGAATTTTGCATACTAGCCAGCTTTCAAATCACATGGCAATTAATCTCCCGGACTCATTTTTGCGTTTCAACTATGAGCTCGATCTAAGAAAAATATCGATATATTGAAATACTGAATATATGAAATATTGAAAGCACAGAAATACGCGCCTTTATTTGAAATAACTTCTGTCACTTCCTCACAGTCCTTATATTATAACACACAACTATTTTTCAAAATACCAATTTAATCATAGTGATCTCATTTATTTGTTCAGGTATTTGATCTTGGTGCAGTAAATAGAAATAAAATCATCGTCTGCATTATCACACAAGACCCACAGCTTAAAGTTATTAACAAACTAAGGTGCGCATACAAAATATACCTACAGATGTGTAGATAGAAAACAATCAAAAATATTTGTACAAAACAATACAGAGGAAATAGTAGTAGTTACTGCCTAGGGCTAGCCTTTGCCCTCAGTTGTCCATCCGCTCCACACTCAGATAAATTTCAGTTTTTGGCATTAATAGCAGCCTGCCATTGTCATATTTCAGGGGAATCTCCGTCTTAGCGCAGGGCGCATATCTGTGATGCTGCAGCAGCGCCACAAGTCCCACCAGCAGCTCCTGCTCCACAAACTGTGCGGCTATGCAGCCGCGCAATCCATCGCCAAAGGGCAGAAAGGACATGGCGGGACGCTTACGCCTGGCCTCCGCCTCAAAGCGATCCGGATCAAAGCGCAGGGGCTCGTCGTAGATGGCAGGATCCCGGTGTATGGCTGCCGTGGGTATGATCACATTGTTGCCTCGCGCTATGACAAACACCGAGCCGGGCAGCTCAAACTCCTTGGTGGCACGACGCAGCAGCAAGGGATAAGGTGTGTGCAGGCGAAGCGTCTCTGGAAGCAGCAAGAATGCAAGTTCGTTATGTGCGCAAGGCAAAGAGGAGTCCTCCCACTTACCATTCAGCACTTGCTTCGTGTACAGCAGCTCCTTCAGCCCTTCCTGTGTCAGCTGCCCGTCGTGTTGCTGCAGAGTCCCGCGTATCTCCGCTCTGACGCGCTCCTGCAGCTCCGGGTGCTGCGCCAATTCGTACAGACAAAAGCTGAGCGTGGCATTGAGGGGCACCAGACCGGCTAGCACGAAGCCGAAAGCCTGCGCCGCAATCTGCACATCATCCAGCGGCTGTTCCATGCGTGAGTAGAGCTGGAGGAAGGTCTGCAGCGGCTGGCGATCCCTCTTGCGCTGCTCCTGCAGCTGCCTGAGTGCCACCTTTTGAAAGTAGTCCGTGGCCGCCTTGTCATAGCTCTGGTGCCTGAGTACCCGCGCGAGCAGCGGGAATTCCAGCGCCAAATACGCACGCCACAGACTAAAGTTGCTCCAGTAGGTCTGGGTCCAACGGCGGAACTCTGTGTGATCGACAGTCAGGCCAAAGGCCATTGAGGCCACCACTTCCAGGTTGTAGCTGTCCACCAGCTCGTTGATGTTGAGCGTTTGCAGACGCTGCTTGCCCAGAGAGCTCTGGAAACCTCTGGAGATTTGCAGCAGTCGGGGCAGCAGCTTGTTGATGTTCGCCGCGCTGAACACGCCCGCGGATTGAGCGTGCAACGCGCGCCACTTGTGTCCATCCAGCTGCAGCAGATTGCCCGAGAGCGGCTCCACACTCGCAGTGCTGTAGAGGCCGCGCGTCGTGAAGTTGCCCGCGTGTGTGACCAGAATGTGACGCACTAGCTCCAGATCCAGCACCAAAACGAATGGCTTGATGCACGCAAAGAAGCCCACGAAGGGCGCTCGACCCTTGTACTCCGCGTAGATGGCCTGCAGCGCATCCTGCAGATGCCGCTTGCCCGTCACAACGCCCTTGATGTTGCCCCAAAAGAACTTTGGCTTCTCGTGCAGTATGCCGCGTCGCTTCCAGTAGCCCAAGCTGATCTTGACCAGCGCATAGACGAGGGACACCGCACCCAAAGCGGTGAGCACAGCGCGATGCAGCAGCTCCATGGAGAGTTTTGTCTTTTTTGCTGCTTAAATGTAAAGTTTTCTTCGTTCTGGCAGTGGTTAGTGCCGGCACTGACTTATCAGCGCCATCATCGTCATTGGACTAGCAGTTATCAGTTGACTTGGCCAACGCAGCGATAAGGAGCGAGCGACGAGCGTCGATCGAGGCTAAAATAGAAGAAAAACGAGGGCTATAAAGCGGCATTGGCGGCAGGGCGATGATAATGTTGTATGCTAATCAATTTGTGGCTTTGGCTTTTGCCTCGTTTTATTGCTGCAGCATGAGGCACAGATTGTATGCGCTCGCCTGCAGCTCGCTGGTGTGCATCCAGCGGACATAGCCGCTGTCAATTAGTTGCTGCTTGCTCTCGGGCACACCCACGTAATGCGGATCCTAAATTGGAAATGGCAAACAGTCAGTCACAGCAAGTGCTCCAAATTGCACCCAACACTCACCACAATCAGCAGGTAGACATCGCCCGTTGGGGTGCAATGCCAGCCGGCAATGCCCTTGGATGCCGCATCACTCAACCCGCCCATGGGTATGAAGCCTGCGTATTCCACAAAGTAATTGCGTATCTGCTGGAGCGTTTCCGTGGCGCAGAGTTCCTTTGTGTGCAGAATCTTGCAGGGCAGCTGGAAGAGCGCATCAATCACGTAGAACTCCTCCAGGGTGCCAATCCAGTCGCGGGAGCCACCAAATCTCGCGGGCTTGTCGCCCAGCTCGATCAATATTTGCTGCATCTCCCGTATCGAGGGCACCTGCTGCGCCGCTTGGCTGCGTTTATTTATAAGCCACGAGATGGCCGTTTGCAGGGTGCGATAGCCACAGCCCCAGCCCGCATCCTGGTGGCCATCGCAGCCGTAATGGAAATAGCTAAAACGCCCGCGCGTCAGCAATGTTTCGCCATTCGCGGTTGGTGGGGCCACGGCCAGGTGAGGCTCTTCGAGCAGCGCGTATGTGTAGGTCTTCGGGGAAATGCTTAATCCGACAGGTGCCTGCTGTGCACTTTCAGTGTCCATTGCACACACTCTTGGCTGCAATTGTTTATAGCGTGGGCTGGCCCTTGCCACCTATAATAATTGCTCTGTTTATTTACCTTGAGGAACTCTCCAGCTTTCGTTTTGTAAAATTTTGTTTTTTGTGAAAGTTTTTTTTTTTTGGGATTGCATTGCTCATTCCGTGTGACTGTTCAAACTTAACACTCTGAACGCCCGCCTTTTAAATAGGTAAGCACTTTGTCCAAACTGGCGAAATAAAACTGCTTGTTAATGTTTATTGTAGCCACCCATCCCCCCTGTTTACGAATAAATTAAAATGGGCACCGTTTCATTCAGCGAAACTGCATTAAAAATCTTTAAGTTTCATTAATTTCTTAGTTTGCACTTAAACACCCATTGGTCACCAGAAGGTTAATCGGTCTCGGTCAATGACATACATATTTACTCGATTTTAATACTCTGTTTAATATTGCCACTCAACTTAGACTCTCAGCTGTGCATCTACAATTTTCTACGATTGTACAATACATTCGCCACAAGATTGACCTACTCTTAGTGACTTCTTTTATTGGATTGTTTAGCTGGAAGGGTTCGAAATAAATAAACGCTACGTTGTTACGTTACTTGACAATTTGTTGCTGGCCACGCAGTAGTATGTTCCTCTGTGTACCCTGTTTCCATTATTTAATATAAGCATTTCGTTTGCAAAGCTGCTCTTAAATATAAAAATGCCGTAATGTTTTTATATTATGCAAAATTTGTTAAGATATCTCTCCAAAGCAGTTCTATTGGTTTTTTCCATTGATTAGAGCCAAAGATTTCCAGCATTTACTCAATCCGAGGACACCCTTCCCTCCAAGGGTACTAAATGTTGCTTATTGCATGAAAAATGTTTAGGAACAATGCTGCTAAGTATTCGCAGCATGTAAACATACATTTTTCCCGATTTTGATGTTCTACTTAATTTTAACAGATAGGTAGGGCTTTTAGTACTCAAACTATATTTTTATTTGTTTGATGAATCAATTGTCTGTAGGCGGAGAGCCTAACAATATTAGAAAGAATCCCAGCATAGCATAGCTATTGTTGGAATGATGTAAATTAGTTTCCATTCACTGCTAGAGGTAATGGTCGTATGACACTGCACTTTTTATGGGCAAAGCAATCACTGAGAGAGATAGAAATTGCGAGACTCAGCTGCTCCACGTGAACTTCAAATGAAACTATGCAATATTTGCTTTTGTTTTTGCTTATTTCTCATGAATTTCAAATTTTATTTGAATTATTAAATGTACATTATTGTGTTTAGAATTTATAAATATTTTTTTTGTGGGTGTGTGGTGTGTTTCAAGGTTTTTTTGCTTCCCCCCTCGCTCTTAAATGGTGCTCCATAAACTTTTTGCCTTAATTTCGATTATACTGTGAGCCAAACAATTTGTTTAATAATTTTATAAGTGTTACAAATTTTAAATCCTACGCTCTGTAAAATTTGCATTATATTTCTATTTATTTTTTGGGACTTCAACTATTTGTTTTTTTGTATTTTATATTTTTTGTGATTTACTTGATTGTTATTGAGTTGCTGTTACTTTTGTTGTTGTTGTTGTTGTGTGTTTAAAAGTTGCCTTTAAAAAATTGTTGTGTTCACAATTAAATACTTGAAGATTTTTGTTGCAATTTAAAAATATCTAAAAACTACATTTGTGCTCGCAAATTGTGTTTTTTTGTTTGTTTTTTGGTTAAAATTGTGTGTTGTTTTTTTGTTCAATTAAAAATTATAAGTACAATACACATAAAATACATTTATTAAATATATATTTAGCGATATCACCACGATTTGTTGTTATTGTGCTCTTAAAAATCATTTGTAACAGAAAAGATTTTTGTTTTGTATGCTAAAAAATGATTAATTTCTTATGTAAATTGTTAATATTATTATAATTATAAATATTCATTCCCACCGCCTGCTGCTGCTGCTCCTCCTAATCGGGCTCCTCGTTGGTTTGCTGTCGTAAATGCAGTCAAAATATGCTTGCGTCTAAAAAATACATTCCCCAATCTGCGCTGCTTCCACAATCAAGTCTAAAACTGAATCGTTGCTCCTCCTTATGTCCTTATTCCTCTAGGCATACTGCGGTGCTTGAACTAAATGCAATGCCACGCGCTCTCTCCCGCTTGGCTGCTATTACAACGTGCAGTATTCGGTGAGTATGGGTATGGATTTCAGCAGCTCATTGATGTTATGCTGATCGAGATGTGCCACCAGCTGCTCGGAAGACTTCAACAGATTCACACAATTCTGCAGATTCTCAACAATCTCCTTGGTCATGCTGTCCGATGATTTGCTTATGAGCTCCGCCAGCTTCTTGCCCACCTCGTACTTGATCAGCTCATCCTGCAGTCGTTGCGCCTGCTGCTGGCCCGCTTGATTTGCCTGCGACAAATACACAACCGACAGGATGCACAGCGCAATCAACGCCTCATTCTGCATGACCAAATGTTGGGCTGTGAGCATGCTGACCATGGCCTCCACGGTGCCCTCGTTGGCCAGAAACTGACTCAAACTCGTGCGATCATAGTCCTGGGTGAGGGGTATCCTGTCCGCTATTTGTTCGGCTGGGGCATCGCCCTTGCGCGGCAGCGCATAGGCAATCTTGCTGAGATACGCGTGCTTAATCAGCCAGGCCATCAGACGCAGCGACTCGCCAGTAACCCCTGCATAGTCGGAGGATTTGCTCCAGTGCACCAGCTGCTCGATGAGCGTCTTGTTCTTCAGCAGCTCCAAAGCGAGTTTCTCTACAAAGAAATTAAGAGTTGAATGAATAAAGCTACAGAAAACTCGTACCGCCACTCACCCTGCCCATCGACTGTCATGCGTAGCGTGCCCAGCAGCTTGAACACAACCGGTGGCTGATGGATCTCCAGCATGGGCAGAATCGTTTGCACCAGACCCGCCTGGATCACCGCATTCTTGTTCGGCTTGGGTATTACCAAATTACGCAACGCACTGAGCAGCGCATGCTGCAGACGGACATCGTCCTTGACGCCATTATTCTTGGCCAGCACCTCGAGCAGCTTGTTCATGGTCTGCTGCTCCACAAAGTAAATGCAGTGGCTGTCGGTGCGCGCAAAGTTGCCCAAGGCCAGCACGCCGGTGGTCAGCAGATCAATGTCCGACGAGTCCAGCCAGTCGACCATGTTCTTGAGCAACGTTGTCGTATATAGATAGTGCATGGATTCATCTGTAAAAGGGAGAAACAATGAGCTTAAGTGTGGCAGAAGGGCGCAGCTTCAACTTACCACCCGTGAGTATCAGCACAATCAACTCGCAGGCCAGCTTCATCAGTGCCCGCGCCTCGCTGGTGCTCGCCAGCGTCTTGTACTTCTCCAGCAGATTGTAGATCGTCTCGCAGAGTCCATCCTTGGCCAGCAGCAGCTTCACCTCATCGCTCTCTGCTTGGTAGTGCAGCAGCTCCAGGCACATCTCCGCCAGATCCGGATTGGTGGACGCAGCCAAAATGCGCGACAGCTGAATGTTCAGCGTTGCCTCAAAGTTCAGATCCGCCACATTCTCCGTGAGAATGCTGAGCAGCGGCAGCGTGTTCAGCAGCAAATCCTCATGCACTTCCACATTGGAGGCCCCCGTGGCAATCATTGCCTGCAGCTTCTTCATCACGCCCAGCTCCATGGCACGCTTGGCCAGCCCCTCGCCGCCCAGCAAATAATTTGAGAGCAATCCCCCGCGCACCTTGATGAACTGCGCCGCATTGGCCACATCCTCGATGCTGGCAATGTCGAGCAGCTGCAGCAGCACCGCATCACCCTCCAGCTCCAGTATGAGATCCCGCGCCTCGTCATTCAGGTAGCAAATGTTGCCCAACGCTCGACAGATCTGTATGGGCAGCTCCATGCTGCCATCCGGCGTCGGCACCTGCCGCAGGCAATTCAAAAAGGCGGCAATTATGTCTCGCTTGGTGAACTTTTTGCGCTGCACCTCGGACTTGGTGATCTCCGCTATGCACTTGGCCGCCTCCTTGCGCACATTCGTGTCCTCGCTTTGGGTGAGCTCCAGAAAGCAATCGGCCAGCTCGTGCTTGTCAAACAACTTGGGGTCCTTGGTGGCTGAGATTTCGCACAGCAGATTCGTTGTCTGGCTGTTGCCCGCACTCACGCTGGTTGTCTTCAGCTGCTCAATGAGCTCATCGATTTCAGCTGGAAAAGGGAGAGGAAATAGGGAGAGAAAGTGGCATCAATAAAAGTGTTTAAGCTACGTGATTCCTAGAGAGAAGGTGGTAGAAATTTGATGTGCAAATATCATTCACGGGTATCATTCTCTTCAGCAATCTTAGCTTGTGCAACCGAGTCCAAAGTGTGCCTGAAAGGGCAGCTATGTCGCGCCACAGGGTGTAGCATATTCCACCATTGGTATGCCTTTGTCTTCGCTCTCTTTTGCACCACAAAATTGATTGGCAATTTCGATTATCAGCTGTGCCCGAGGACAGCAGGCAAGGGACAGTGTGGGCACAGCTACAGCCTGCATGGCTCTTTGGGTTATAAATAAAATGTTGAACCATTAGAATCAACTTAGAATCAGGGAAAGCTTTTCAAGCGTGTGCCGCATTAAGCAACCATTTCCCTGCCCATTGCCAGCAGATGTTGCCGGGGCGGGGCGGTGGGGCATAAGTGATTTGCATAAGTCCTTGCCGCGAGCAAAACAAAAAGCAATCTGCGAGAGTCATCACGAGTTACAGGAAAGGAATGAAATGGTTAGGAAAAAGGCAAACTAGAGAGTGGACAAGGAATGGGGTGGAAGCTTAAAGCGAAAATGCTGAAAAAAAGGAGCTTAAGTTTCCATTAAATTCGCTACAAAAAGTGAGCCAAAAATGTGGCTGAAATGTGTGATTTAAAGTTGATTTGCGGGCCAACATTATCACAATATTATTTCAGTCAGTTGCCGGGGAAAACACATTTGAATGGGCGGCGCCCGACAACTGGCGACAACAGTTGGTGGCAGGCAGGCAGCGCCCTGGGTTGGGGCAATTCAACAAACTTTGTGGAGCATAAATAATGAATAGGTTAAACAAAGGGCAAAAGGGCGAACCCAGCCACACAGTTCCTCGTTCAAGCATCATTCGAGAGCCAGACATGTTGCACTTAGAAAAAGGTAACTCTAGCCACACAAACATTGTGTACATGTGAATGCCAACATTCAATGCAACACACTGAATGCATTTGGATGGACAGCTGGCAACAGGGTAACCAACTTCAACCCCCCAAAAGGTACAGACAGGTGCTGGTTGCAGCGTCACAACCGCCTTTACTGCCTTTTTTTGCTGCTGTTATTTTGCGTGCCTCAATGTGTTTGCTTTGGTAACTGGTACTCGTTGGTATTCAGAGTGTGCCATGCCCCCAACCAACCAACCAACCAGCCATCCATCCATCCATTCCGTTCGAGTTCCGTGGCAAGTTCGTTAGCTTTTGCTTTGAGGAAGCCGTTTGAGGCATTTATTCGCTTCAATTTCTGTGCCAAATTGCTGCATTTTCCTGTTGCATTTTGGGTCTATTTTTTATATATATTTCTTCACCATTAATCGTTGGGAAAATGGGCTGAAAAAAACGACATAAAAATGCTCGAAAAACAAGTGCAAAATTGATGTTGTTGCTGCTTTTTGTGGTTTGTTGCATGCCTTAATTTCGTGTGCAATTTCTGCTCCTTTTTCATTTTGGGGCATTTACCGAATGTGGGTTAGGCCACAGGAAGTGCGCCATGGAAGCCATGGGAACTGAGCCACAGGGAACTCAACTCAACTCTCAGGCTTGCTGGCTGCAGAAAATTTGTTTTTTGTTGCCCGCGGGCTGAGTGTCGTAAATATTGAATGGGTTTTTCGGCAAAATCAATATTTATTCAGCTATGTTGTGGGTCCATGTTTAATGGGTTTTCTTTAATGCAAAATGGAATAAATATTTTTGTTAGTTTTAGCATAAAATTGGCACAATGCAAAGCTATTTTTGTCTTCAGTAAAATGGAATGAAATTATATTTGGAGAGCAATTATTGGGGTATTGGCTATCAGCTATCAGTTCATTAACGAAGAGTTATAATGTTCCATAAGCGAAAGGGAAATGTAAACCATTTTGCACTCAAGATCCACCTCTACCTATAGACCCAGAAACACACTGGAAAAAGGCACAACGATAATTTGTATATAATTATTAACTAATTTATTTGTATTCACATTAATTCACTTAAAACAAGTAAAAACGAGTGCAAGTATCCCCTCAAATGTCACTCAATTCTTGTCTGCAGTTGTCTCCTTCTTCTCCTTAGTGTGGCTGGACTGCAGCAGTGGCCTAAAGCTGGACTGTCCAATCTTGTGGAGCGCCTCGCAGGCTGGCATTGGCATGTGCTCCGCATGTTGGCGCATATTTTGCACATCGGCCTGCAGCACACGCAGCAGCAGAGTGTCGCCTGCAAAAGGCATAAAGGGAGTGGTTGGAACACATGCAGGAACACCTTTTGGTAGCTCAACACTCACGCAATCTGGTCTCCTGCTGGCAGTTCAGTTTCAGCTCTTCAATGTAAACGCTTTCGATCTGCTGCTCCAGCTGCTCGCGCTGCTCCGCGGTGTATTTGGCGGCACTCTCGGGGCTCATGTAGTAGGCAATATTTCGGGCATGACTGAAGCGTGCCACACTGTGGGTGCTGCGGAGAGGATGGGGAGTGGCATTATTTGCTATTCCCTTCTGGCGATTACTCACCTGCTCCGCCTGAAGCTGTACTCCGGCACGGTGCTGAGGACATGCATGACGAGGAACATAAAGAGCAGCGAGCAGACCATGCCAACGGCCAGATGTTGCGTCTGAAAGAACACCTGACTCTGTGGCACGCGCTGATTGGCCGCCATATAGGGGCGACGCGGTGCAGCCGCCAGCTCCTCTTCCTCCTGCTGCTCCTGCTCCGCATACTCCCACTCGTCGTACATCGAGTCACCCATGGACAAGTCCTGAGTGTACTCCAGCCGCCTATTGTGATCCGTCAGGCAGTCGACAGCCTCGCTGATGCGGCGAAAGGCCATCTCGGCGCCTGGCGCGCGGTTCTTGTCGGGATGCAGGCGCAGTGCCAGTCGCTTGTAGGAGCGCTTGGCCTCGGAGTAAGTGTCATTCTGCGAGAGGCGCAACACCTCGTAGTGGTTGCTGCAACGCAGCACTTTCTGTACAACGTCCAGCATTTCGGCGGTGAAGGCGTGCGGCAGTGCCGCTGACTGGTTGGTGGGCCCAAAGCTCTGTCCCCCATCGGCATTAATGCGCACTCGAATCACAATGTTTTTGATCTCCAACAGGGCTCCGATTAGTCCGCGACCCGTAGTCCCGGACAGCGACTCGCTGATACGCTGCAGGGCAATATCGTAGTTGGCCCAGCACAGATCCGCCACCACACGATCGAGGCACGATCGCACCATGGTGGACTCCTCGTTCTCCTCCATTTCTTCATGGTCCTCATCTCCGTGCTCGCTCCACGCGGCTTCTCTATAGGCTCTCATTCCTGCCCAGCAGCGTGCAAAGGCAAAAGGCATTTTGATTTGGTTTTGGTTTTGCTTTTGGTTTCGTTTTTGTTTGGCGAACTTTTGATTTTGGGTTTAGTTGTGTGTGTGTCAAGACAGCAAAAAAGGTTTGGGAATGTGCGTGGAATGTTTTTAAATTAGCTTGAGACTTAAAACACATTTGAGCAACACGATTTGAATGAAGAGAAAACTCTCAGAGCACTTGATGGAGTTTTGGAGCTCGTTTTATATTCAATTTACAGTTTTATGTGTAAGCTAATGGCCCAGCATACAGTGAATTGACCCATTTGGTTCTCTCAAGATCGCTCACGCCTCTCTTCCCCTCTTCATTTCGCGCTTTTCCCTCTTTCACTTGCTGGCAATGCGCTCTCTTTTTGCATAACTTTTAGTTCTCATGCAACTGCAAATACAACAACAAACTTCGCTGTGCTTGCATGTGTGTAAGTGTTGAGACCCGAAAAACAGAGGGAACCCACCACCTTTTTTAAGTTCTGTTTGCTTGCAGGTAGCAGGTAGCAACTCTCGCGCTCTGACTCTTTCGCTCGGCCGCTCTCTCACTCCAAGCTTTGCTTGCACTTACAGTTATTGCTTTTACAAGACATAGCTTGAATAGTGTCATAGCAAGTAGCTTTAAAAGGGGCATAGCAATTGATTAGTTTCATGGACACATAAATCATAATTTTTAAACCGGACTAAAATGGAACTTAAGTTGAAATATATTTTAGCTATATATTTTTCAGAGGTTTTTACGACCTGCCTTTGATTTCCTGTAATGCTGCATGAACAGTGTCTGCCTCCCGTCCATCTCTCACAAGATATTTACAGTGTATACCCACTCCGCATTGCCTTGAAGCGGAATACAGTCGAATGTATGTCTGTATGCACACACTGGCCGGCCTCAAAGGGCAGAGCTCAAATGTTGACAAAGTTGATCTTCAGTTTATGTGCCACTTGAAATAACTTTGTGTTGGTTTTCAGTGTGGCGAGCTGTGAGTGTGGCGTGCTGGGAGGGGAATGGGAATTGGCAGCACTTCAGACCCCAAGAAGTATGCTTCAAAAACTTCGAAAGGGACACAAACTTCTTCTGTTTAGTGGGGTACTCGAGAACGGGGAGAAAAAGGACGACTTCCACTCTCCAAGTTAATTGAAATTAATTTCTATGCCAATTTGAATGGGGGCACGAACTCAATTAAAACAGAGCGACAGTTCCTTTCCACCCCCACAATTTCACATCCCCTTTTATTCATTCATTTATTCTCAAGGCCGTTGGACTAGGGGGAGGACCCAAAATCTTATTAGCAGTAAAAAGAATCAACGAGAAGAAAGGAAATCACAAGTCAACCAGATGAGGCGCAACGTTAGAGGAATACGCAAACAGGCACAGCCAGCCCGAGGGGTTGTGCCTTGCAATAAATTCGTTGCTGGGGCAAACTAAAATACTCGTAACAGTCAGCTAATCCGGCAAAAGCTGCGTGGAACGAATGAGCAACAACAGCAGCAAAAAAAGAATAGAGCCCAAAATAATAATAATAACCATAAAGCACAGGGAGGGGTGCACTGGGGTGCTCTGATATCATCGGCCTTATCAGCGCCTTGGGGTTGCTGGCTGGGGGTTGGGTTGCCACAGGGCAAGCGACAGTCAAACTCCAAGCGAACGCGCCCGGTCCAAATGCAGACACAAAGGACCAATTAAATTCTAAAGCGAGGAAGGAGCCACAGATGGGAGCAGGCCGCCACTGGCAACTGGGAACCGGCAATGGGTCCCGTCTCGCAACATTGAGCCCCAGCTGCTGGGGTTGCTGGCACTGGAGCCACGACAAGGCACGTTTAAGTGCTGTGTGGGATGCTGTCCCCCTGGCAAAGGGTATATTAACAGAGCTATCAATGGGGCTGTTGGTATAAAGTTATTATATATTTTTTTGTAGAGAAATGTTCATTATTCCAGGGTATGTTCATGTGTTGGACATACATTTCTTTTCATTTATTCATTGTTATTTGTTATGCCACCCCTGGGGGGTGGTGTTGAATCCGAGCTTGAATGTGGGCTAGGGGGAATGATGAGTGTTGAAACATGCCGGTAAACCTTGCACCTCACAGTAGGCATATTCATTTATTAATGCGTCGTCACTGCTGGGGAGCCCCAGCGGTGGTTCACTGACGTGACTTGGGTGGATGGTTTCTGGTAAAAGGTGGCAGTGCACACCACCACCACAGATAGTAGCACAGGAACAAAGACAAATGGCAGAGAGAGAGAGAGAGAAAGAGTTACTCAATTCCCGCCAGAATTGTGAGCGCTTGTGCCGTTAAAGTATAAAGCACAGAAATCTGATTGGATTGATCCCAACGGTAAGTGCAGTCGGTCAACGCGGGAGTGGGGGGAGGGGAGAGCAGAAAGCTCTCTGTGCATCATCTAATCCGTGCTCCACCCCCCACTGTGCAAAGAAGCTGAAGAGAAAAACGCGTAAATATTGATTTTTCTCACACACATAACTAAGGCATCATAGGGCAAAGACAGTCAGAGCAGACGCACACACACACACACATGAGCATCTCGACTAGCTGTAATCCCCCACCCCCACCATGTCAGCAAGCTGCGGCAGACATGAAGCAGCAGAGGAGACACACTCGAGAGCACCCGGCACCTGGTCTCGATTGGGTGTCTTCGCAGCTCATAAATGTATAAATATTGTGCGCGGCGCGCTACACAGAGAATGCAGTCAGTGCATGTTGCACACACACACACACACAAACAATGACACGCATGAGTTGCATTTGTTTATATTGGGGGGCAACAAACAAAACGTAAAGAATGGAATTTTGTGTGTTAAAAGAGCAGCAAATACACAGAGCATACAGCATACATAAAAATGAAGAAACGCACTTCTTTCTTAATCTTTACTTATTCTTTATTGTTTTTTTTTTTGGTTACTCACTCGCCATGTTTGCCGCTGCTTAGCGCTTTTGTTGTTTATTCCGCCGCTGCTTCTTCCTCTGCCTGTACTCCGTCTCCGCAGATGGTTTGAGGGTTAAGAGGCACGCTGTATCACTTATTTGTGTGTTTTGTGTGGTTAACAATGCTATATGCTATTGTTAATATAACGAAAAAGCTGAACACATTTCACTGATTTTTCTGCTTCTGCATTTACCGACCAAAAACCGATATCGAAACGAAACACGTACACCCACACCCGCGACGTCAACAAACTATTTCGATATAATTGATTGTTTCGATTAATTTTAGTTTGTTAATATATTTTCAGTTGTTACTTCTTTTTTGTATTTTATTCACTTATTTTAGTTTATTGTTGTTTCGCGGCGTTTACCAATGCTGGTTATAGTCAGTGTGACCGCGGACTTATCGAAAAGATATACCGTCAGACCGTCAGAAATATACCTTTTGTCTTTCACAAAACACCGTACATATTATGCGGAAAGGCACATTCTGCAAATTTGTTATTCTGTTTTATATTACAAGCTGGTTATTAATCTCAGCACTAAACTTGTAATTTTATACGATTGATGACTAAATTTTTTAAAATATTGTTCTGAAAACGGGTTATCCATAACAGAGAAAACGGCCCAGAAAATGCATTGTTGCAATAGCTCTCCCGACTCATTTTTGAGCGTCAAGTCTGAGCCCAAAAATACCCCAGTAAAATACCAAAACTACCCTAAATATACCAAGAAAACGAAGTTATTGGTCGACAATGGGCTAATATTCCAGAGTTTCCACTGCACACACAGAACCTAATTGTTTATCTCTTGAAACGAACAATAATTAAGCAGAACACACAAGTTTAATTAAATAAAAAGCCAACGCAACAAAGTTTACAGAGTGATTTGGCCGGCATCGTACTTAATAGAGCACATCAGCATAGAGAAATAATTACAGCGTGACCGCGACAACACTACACAGCGCTTATAAGGAATAAAATAATTTGCGCTCTACCCACTGGCCTGACCGTTTAGTCAAACAATTGTGGAGTGATTTGCTGCGAGGACCGTTCGTAAAGGCTGGTAAAATTGGAAAAATAACTAAGCATAACACAAAAATGCCGCCAGCGTCCGCGGTGAACAGTAACAATGCGGCCGCACAGGCAGCCAAGGCAGAGCGGGCAGAGAAGCTGCGAGGGGCGCTCAGAACCTTCATCGTGGCGGATCGCCAGCGTCGGCAGGAGGAATACGATGCCTACTGTGAGCAGGTGCGACAGCGACGGGAGGAGGAGGAACGGGAGCGCGAGAACCAGCAGGCCCTGGAGGACACACGGGACGAGATCACCAAACTGGACGAGCAACTGGCAGATCTGCACAGTCAGAAGCATCAGTTGCTGGTGCAGCTAAAGAAGGTGCTCAATGACGATGAGACGAGGAAAAAGCAGGCCAAGGAGAACGAACTGTTTGCCATGCAACAGGCGGCGGCCACTGTGGCCACCTCGGTCTATCTGCCGACTCTCCGCTTACAACAGCATCACCAGCAGCTACCGAAGGTAGGGATGTTTGTCTGGCAGCCAAAATCAGCCGCGGAGTAATCATATTTTTGTATCTTTTGCAGCCACCGCCCGGCAGTCAGGCAGGGAAGCGAGGGCGAAGTCCCTCGCCACCGAATCATGCGTACTACAAGAGCTTTGCGCAACAAAGTAAGCCGCCACCCACCCACAGTCCATTTGCTACTCCTAAAAGGCATTTTCCCTTACTCTCTGTTGCAGAGCCCACGGCACAGTATCCCAGCACGGGCACCCTGTTCTATCAGACGACTGCAGCGCCGCCAACCACACAGCAGCAGGCCGATGCACGGCTGCAGTCCATCTACAACTATGCGCTGCCACTGCGACAGGCGTACCATGTGGAGCTGCCCAATGCCACGGTGAGCAAGGCCTCGGACACGCAGTCGCCGAAGACGCAGCCGATGCAGGTGCTGCACATCAATCTGGACCAGCCGCCCATTTCCCAATCCGATTTGGTTGTGCAGGCCACCAGCGTGGCCAGCAGCCTGTCCATACAGGCATCCAAGCCGCAGGTGACCATGGAGAAGCTGCCGGAGCGCTATCACATTGAGGTGAAGCACGATGGTGCGCCACAGAATCATGTACCACCGCCGCCGCATCTGCTGTCGGAGGGTGTGATCTTTAAGCCGATGATGAGCGAGCTCTCAATGCATCCCAATGTGCTGCAAATAAGCACCAGTCAGGTGAGTGGGAACAGATGAACCTCTCTGCAACAGTTTGGACTAACAGATTCTCTCCCTCTTCCCGACAGAGTTCCAAGACCACTGGCAGCATTACACAAGGCTTTCCGCCAGTACGTGGCAGCTCTGGCGGCCATGAGGCACAATTGAATCGACAGCAGCTGTCGCTGTTGCCCGGCCAGACGGCCACACCGCCCGTTTCTAGCTCGGGATCCGCACAGCCAACGGCCGGACAGCAATTGCAATATCCACGACGCTTGTACTAGCTCTAGGATCTAGTTACTCTCCTTCTATGAAACTCACTCACTAATCAAGTTACGATTTTTAATGGAGATTATATACTGACTACGCCGCCTTCTGCTTGGCGGTGGCCAAACACACACACGAAATAAAGCACACACAATAATGGCGTCCCTATTTTCCAATCGAATTTAAAGAGTTTTTTAATGTCAATTGAAATTACGGCACTCCTTTTCGCGTACCAGTACTCTATCTCTATCCCTTTCTGGCGCTTGTCTTTGGGAGCGTGGTGAATAAGTTGGTGGTCGTAGAATAAGTGTGTGTTTGTATGTGTAGCGTTTATGCATGTGCCAAACGGTATCCAGCTGTGGAAACAAGCGCCCATCCGTTTGCTCCCGGTTTTCATTAGATTTTCAGTGGGTTGGATAAGTGGCAGAATAATTTGCAAAAATGTACTCAAGTGTGACGCATGCTGCTTACCGTTTGCGTTTCTCCTTCATCTTAATGGCATTCCATTCCCCTTCAGAGACAATTGCATTACATTTCGTACTTAATTTATAATTTGCCAGATGCCAGTTGCCAGTAAGCCGCCGCTGGGAAGCCGCACGGAAACTGGAAATTCATAGTCAACAAAGTGATTCATAAATGTTTCTATATTGTCAATAATTGGGGTTCGTCTGTTATTTGTAGAATCTATATGCTTGCTGCTGCTGTGTCTGTCTGTGGGGGGAAATACATTTACATACGGAACGACATAAGGTTAATTGTACGGAGCACCACTTGTTAATTAGCAATGTCAGGCAGCGTCATTCGATGTTTTTTCGTATACCAAAAATTAAAGTTTCATAGCCACGTTCTCTCTAACAATTGGATTACGCAATTAACTTTGGAAACCAGTTGTTGTGTGTGTCAAGGAAAAGTTACAGACAATTACAGCGGATGGATAGCTTCCCCTTGCACCCCCTGCATGTAATTAAAACCGGAAGCCATGCGCCCGAAGCCATAGTAGGGCCAGCAGGCAGCGTCTTGTGGGTGGGGGTAAATCTACCGTTGGAGCTCGAACGAGTTGCGTGTAAATACTTTCAGCCGCATACCTGTTCCCACTGCAAGCGACGCCTACGCCAATGCACAAAAAACCGCAATATCGTGAAAGTTGCAGGGGAAACCATTCAGTTCTCAATTCCCTTATCGCCAAATTTGTGCAAAAGCGACAGATTATGCATCAGATAAATTTTACCCACGAGCGATTGTTAAAAAGATTATAATTGAGTAAAATTATCACTTATTTATCCATTAAATTCCATATTAACTTATTATAGGCACGTTTCATCTATTACGCTTTGCTACAAATTGTGGTGGAAACGAAATTGGGAAAAACATGGCTTCATATCTTGCGGTTCCCAATCACCTCGTGGGCAGGCAGGCAGGCAGGCTACCAGCAGCAGCCTTCACAACAACCACATCGCAGCACTGAAACGGTGCGCTGGCAATTTGCATAAATAAACAAAAGGTTCACCATTTGGTAACAAAAACAACAACAACAGCAGCAACAAAACAAAACAAGTTAGTGCAATTAAATCGTACAGGGCAAAAAACGACTCCCCCACCTCCACGATGTCATCGTCACCTAAATGTGATGGTGGGGTTCGGGGAAGCAGCCGTAACGAACAAAATGCTACGCGCCAACATCACAACAAAAATTCGTGGAGCCGAGCGCCAAAGTTCGTACGTGTGTTCTGCTCTGTGTGCTTGTGTGTGAGGCAAGAGCAACAGGCGGTTGCGGTTGGGGCAGCAGCGTCAGTTTCTGGCAGTGGCGGCTTTTAAGCGATCTCTCGTCTCAGTCTGTAATGACAACGGCACCAGTTCATATCGTGAGCGCGGGCAAATAAAACGAATAAATACAAGAGCAAATAGAACGAAACGAAAAAGTAACGAAAAAGGTGTATGTTTGTGTGAGTTTTTGAATTTGCTTGAATGTGCGTGTGAGTGGACAGTGTTGCAAAGCGTGCAGATTTCAAGTGCAGTACAACGTATACAAGATCGTTCACACACACACACACGCCATCCCGCTCGCACTCAAGGCGTCGCCGGCCTTATGTCAAAGTCTGTTTAGTAGCAAAACAGAAGCAGCGCTAAAAGGCAAAATAAATTCGACAAAATTAGCCCTAAGTCGCGACAATACATATAGATATAAGACGAATATAGAAACAACAGACGCGCGAGACTCTGTGGAAGACATTACCTTACCTTGCTGACGTATTCGGTTGGTAAAATGACGTCATCAGAAATTGCATAAAACAAAAAAACATAAACTCAACATAAAAACAATTTGCAGGCGCCAAGTTACTTAATAGAGGAGAGTACGGCCACAGAAATGGAATCCAATAAGGCGTATTTGCGGGAGAAATACCAAGGCTTATGTAATTACCTGGAGCGCGACACAGTGGGCAGCGAACTGCTCATCTACGGCACCTCGGCCCTGATGCTGGCCGTGGCTTATGCCAAGCGCAAGCCCGCGTATCTGGTGCGCCAGTTCAAGCAGCCGTCGCACATCCCGGAGCGCATCATCAACGAACGCATCATGCACACGGGCAAGATCAGCGGCGTACAGCAGCGGGATCAGGACACACTGCTGATGATCAAGCATCGTCCACTCATACCGATCTTCACCAGCAACAAGCGTCTGCTGCCCGTGAAGCTGCCCGGCGTCAGCGTCAACTCGAATGGCTTTGCCTGGCTGCAGCAGTGCCTCGTTGGACGCGAGGCCACCTTCATACCACTCAACAAAGGCGGCAAGCAGGATTATGTTGTGTGCCAGCTGTGTCTGGTGCATCCGCCCAAGGGCAATCGCCTGCTGGACGTCTCCGAGACGCTGCTCAAGCTGCGCTTTGCCAAGTTCGCACAGGATGTGGCCTCCAGCGTGAAGCGCAATGGCAAATACTACAAACATCTGAAGCGCGTTGAGCAAACCACCGCCGAAAAGGAAGCCTGGCTGGCCTGGGCTGCACGCCATCCCTACATCTGGCGGCGCTACAACGAGCTGAAGGCCTCGCTCCTACCCAAGGAGAAGCTGTTGCCCGAGCTGGTGCGCTAGTACCAACACTGCTCCAGCGTATTGTTAAAATAATTCTAAGTTCTAAGGCCTTTCGACGAAACTAAAAACTGAAAACTGAGACGGAAACCGCACTCTGGAGTCCGCGCACCGCGTACGTGATTGTGTGCTAATTTTCCCGACACTCAAATCGAATCGAAATGCTGGGCATTTTTTATATAAACAAAATGTTGAATTTGTTTTTCGATGACATCAGTGCGTTGCTGCATTTGTGTGTGTGTGTGTGTACATGTGTGTGTTTGTGTGTGCCGCTGCTGCCTTTCCCAAATAAAATATGATAAAATACTTAATGCCACCCCGTCTGCACGATCCATTTGTATTTCTCAATGCCTCTCAATTCTCAATTCTATTCTGTATCCACGAACGAACAGTTGCAGCTCCTCCACTCTACAGATTTCCATATAGCCACTTCCATCCACCAACCAACGACGAATCTCTGCCAAGATGAGCTGCGGAATCTCCATGGTTAAATATATTCTGTTTATATTCAATTTGCTATGTTCGGTGAGTAAAAAAAAACAACAAGCATTCATTATAGATTATATCATTAGATCATTTTCCACCCAGTAGTCATTGGCCAAGCCCCAGGCCGTCACCAAGTTTAGTCTCTGGGGGACATGATATCATAAGTTTCTTAACCGTAAAAACTGGTTTTTCTGTACACAAACAACCCGAACAAAAATTGGTGTTTGCTTTAGTTTTTGTGTGAAAGTTGAGGCCTAAAAACCGGTTAACCAAAAACAGTGCGTTACAGAACCATCATTTGGGTTACAAGTGGAATAAAAAGCGTTCGAAATGGTTAGGGAATGGCGTGGAGTCGCTAATTAAATGAAATCTCTGATAAAAAGTAGCCAGAATCAAGGAAAGTTTATTATAAAACACTTTCTACCATTACTACCATTTCTGCCCATCAGTTCTTAAAGCTATGACGTAGTTGGACGTAGTTTTATATGTAAATTCTGTAGGTATTTTGTTTATTTTTGGGGGCTTACTGAAAACTAGTTTGGCTTGAGCGCTGCTATCATTTGACTCCAGCTCTAACAAATATCCGTAACCACTTCGAGGCTAACTGGTTTCAAACATAAACAAAAACAACAACAACAAAAAGGTTACGTTTTCCATTTGCTTAGCAACTTCTTAGTAACAACAAAAGTTCACAGCAGAGGACTGTACTCTTGCAGTGTAACTGGTTTGCAGGTGTGATCCGACTTCGAGTTCTACTCCGTAGCTGCCTGCAGCGCGAAATTCATTCCAGTCACGCAAACATTTACATTCTAATGATCCACCCCCTTGCCTGCCCTGCCACTCTTTTGACGGTTTTACTCAATGTAAAGTTACGCAATGGCTGGTTTGGGGTGTGTTCCGTCTGACCCCCCACGCCCGAAAATAGTTGACTTAATTAAATGTGAACTTGCTCCCCATTTGAGACTAGCCAAAACTTGGCCAAACAACTGCTGCATCCCCCCACACGAACACGCACACGCACACAAACAAACGGAACTACTGAGTGGATGAGATGGGTGCGGGGGTCGCACTTGAACTCAATATGTGTGGTTGGGGCGAGACAGATATAGCAGTGTGGGTGTCGCAATATTTGTCAGTTTTGATCCAATTATTTCCTCAACTCAAATGCTTTAGTCATGCAGCGAAACTATGAGTACTTAACAGATAATTACTCGGTTCTAATCTAATTATGCGCTTAATAAAATAGTTGTTGACGCACTGCGATACAAAATCAGAGTCCATTTATCGGCAAACCTAATCTAAATTAACCACAACGAGCGCAGCATTGATAAGAGATAAGCCATTGGATGGGCCTCCAGCTGCTCATCAAAAACCATTCAAATTATTATAGTTTTTTTTTTTGCAGTGCATTGCTGTTGAGCGCGCGGTGAATTTATAGCAAGTTCACCTTGGGTTGAGCGAAAGCTTTCGAGGCCGAGAGCTTTCCGCGTAGACGCTGTGCTTTTAATAAGCTTTCAGGTTTAGCCATTTAACGCAGCTTTGACATTTGATTTGCATTGTTTACTCTAAGTTTGTTTCAAATATATTAATGAATTACAATTATTTATGTTTTTCCACAGATATGCGGCATTTTGCTGATCGTTTTTGGTGCGCTGCTCTTCAGCAACATCCACAACATCGATGACTTTGCCGAGGCGCTGCGCACGCAGCAGGTGCCCATCACAATGATTGTCCTGGGCACAGTTATACTGCTGATCTCGTGGTTCGGCTGCTGCGGTGCCATACGCGAGTCCTACTGCATGTCCATGACGGTAAGGCGAATGCCCTTTCTCTTTAAATTTTCACTTTACACTCTCTTTTTTTCTCGGCAGTACTCCATTCTGTTGTTTGTTCTGATGATTGGCCAGCTGGCTTTGGTCATCTACATGTGGCTGCAGAAGGACAAGTATCTGGTCATTATGGGCGATGTTGTGGAGAAGGCCTGGGAGCGACGCACACGTCGTGCCGACTACATGGATGCCATACAAATAAGCGTCAGTAACCAAAAATTGAATGAAATTGTGCAATTTTTAAATTATTTTTGTTATTTTTTACATTTCTCAGATGGAGTGCTGTGGCCGCACCAACTTCTCGGACTATTCCTTCCAGGGCTACTTCCCACCCTCCTGCTGCAAGGACACAAACAACTGCCGCCCCGACACTGTCTACAGACGCGGCTGCAAGGCGGCTTTCGTGGAGTTCTGGGACAGAAACAGCGACATTATCAAATATTCCGGCTTGGTGATTGCCGCCATTGAGGTAGGTCTCCACCCGACACATCGTTGAGGAATGTAGCTTATAATTCTCTCTGTTTACTCCACAGTTTGTTGGCTTTGTGTTTGCCTGCTGTCTGGCGAACAGCATTCGGAATTATCGTCGTCGCGCGGACTATTAAAAGAGCCTCTGGGGCGATGCCTTACTAATTTTAAATGAAACCGAAAGTACGAATTATGTTGCCCAATTCTATATACACATAAAGAAACACAAATACGAGTATATACGAGTATACACAGATGGCCATTGAAAATTTACATACAATTTACTCAAGTTATACGAAATGAAAACGAAGAAATCCCCCCAAAAAGAAAATCTCTGAATAAATCTCGAATCTCATAGCGAGAGAGAGCGAGCGAGCGAGCGAGATCCATTGAAGTGCTAATATTTTTTATTGTACAAAATAATTTATACACCACACCGAAAGATTTGCAAATAAAAATTGAGAGAAATTAATCAACTTCAAACTGTGTACTGTGTCGAAAAACCCCCAACAGAATGTCCAAATCTTAATCGAAATTGTCCAGCAGTTAGTCCTGAAGTGTACCCGGCACAGAACGGGCAACATGTTTATAGGATTGATAAGTGATAAGTTAACGCGATAAGGCGGGGGACTCACGGCAGGCAAGGTGTAGTGTGAGTCAGCCAATTGGCAGCCCCCCCCGGCGGGCCAATGTACTGCCAAGTGCAAAAAGAAAGTGCGCGGAATGCTAAATGATTCATCTTAGAAGAGTAGAGTTTTTCATAATTGTTAGGCAATATTCCAGCCCATAGATAAGTATCTTTATGTGTGCTGATTCACACGCCTAACTTTTGAGTACATTCCGTGGGTAGTGCCAGCCACTTTATGGCACTATCTACGCCAGTGCAAGACGATAAGATCCATGAATGACTTTTATTGGGTGTACGGGCACATAGCTGCGAGTATATAGAGCTGCCAGAGAGCGTGGACCTACCCATACATACAGGTATTAGTTCATTTCCAAGAGCAGATAAGTAACAACTCTGATAAGATGCGGGCCTCAAATGGTTTATTATAATGCCCCAGGTCTGGCCATAAGCTACTCAGTTTGACGAGAACAGTCCCAACGAAACGAACGAACGGATTATAGAACGAGGCATTCCGGAATTATTTAACGCCACGAGAAAACCCAACAAGAAATCCAGCAAAATGAATTGCCTTTCAGCCACGTTCAAGTACCTGCTGTACTTCCTCAATTTGATCTTTGTGGTCGGTGGCATATTGCTCATCGTGGTGGGCTCCATCATGCTCTCCACGATGGGCAACTTTGCGGCCTTTGAGGGTGCCGTGAACACGCAGACCATTCCGATCATCATTATAACCATTGGCTGTGTGACGTTCCTGGTGGCCTTCTTCGGCTGCTGCGGCACCATCAGGGAGAATGCCTGCTGCACGACAATTGTAAGTGGAACAGAACTCATTTGTGTGGAGTTCCTTGCTCATAATTGCTCTTTATTTTCTCCCTGCAGTATGCCATTTGTATGCTCATTCTGTTTGCCCTGCAATTGGCTCTGTCCATCTGGATCTTTGCGGCAAATGACAAGTTCCTGGACAAGATGAGCAGCGTGGTAAACACCGCCTGGAATGAGAACAATGCCGCACAGGGCTATCCCATGGATGCGCTCCAATTGGCTGTAAGTTTTACTTACTTAAATCACACTCAATAATCCTTTGGGTATGCTAACACATTTTTCTTGCAGTTCAAGTGCTGTGGCAACACTGGCTTCGAGCAGTACGGCAATGCTGTGCCCGCTTCCTGCTGCGGCTACAAGGATCGCAATGAGGTGTGCGAGGCAGCCATTTACACACAGCGTGTGGGCTGCAACAGCGAATTTGTTGACTTCTGGGCCTCCAATACGGATCTCATACGCTGGAGCAGTTTGATCATTGCGCTCTTCGAGCTGGGCATCTTCATTGTGTCCTGCTGTCTGGCCAGTGCCATGAGGAAGCGTTGATCGAGCAAGATCAACCGCTAGAATCATCCCATTAGCTGTAGCTCATTCATCCAGTTCTGCCATCAATAAATCAAAACAGGTTAAGCTCAATCAAGTATATATTTTTGTTTTGCCTCTAATATTTATTACAATGTCTATCTTTGGCCCTCAAATCTTATCTAATCGGCGTGGGGGAGCTGCTGTTGTTTTCCCCCGAAAACTATATCCGTATAGCACCGAGCTTCGTGCATACTTAGATCGTTTGCCCTCAAACTTTTTGCCAGTGAATCATTCCCGGTTGCCAATTGTTATCGCCGAATGTTTGCTTTTCGTTGTCCCTTTCCGTTATCACTGAGGACTTCTTGTGAGCTCCAAAACTGTGATAAGATATCTATATCTAACGCATCTAGCCGATATCGTGCATGTCTCTGAGGGTACAATTTAAAACCAGTAGCCCAGCGGAAAGACCAGTCCAATCGAACAATAGCAAACGACGCGTGAGCGCGATAAAAAGAAATCATTAAATTATTGCATAAATTTAATTTAATTTTAATTTGATTTTGTCCAACACGAAAGGATACGCAAAAGGAATATATCAAAATGGGTTGTGTTTCGGGCATTCTCAATTTCATACTTTATATCGTTAATATTGTGTTTTTGGTGAGTTTAAAAATGGAATTTAACTAACCAAATTATGCACATAAAAAAGAGAAGTTACAAAGTGTTTGCTCTAGAAAGCTTTATGACAGCTTTAAAGGCATTATTTTATTTACTTTGTCGTTTATTTTATGGATTGCAAACTGAGGAATTATCTGCTGGAGTACAAGTCTTAAAAAAGAAATTGGTTTCTCCATTCATTTTGAGCAAAATATTTTCATATTTTAATTGTCTCTTTGGATATCTTACAATTAGGACGAAGTCACTATAGACTCAAATAACAGAAACAGAGCCAATGTTTAATTACATTTAATATGGAACTATTTTTATAAACAATCGTTCACTATGAGTTCAAAATAAATACATTTCAAAAAGGTCATAATAATATTTGATATTATTATTTAATAGGTTTATGAAGGGATTTTAAAGTCTTTTATGTTCAGAAAATAGATATGCATATATATAATATTTGTATTTGCATTTGGTTGTATTTGTTTTTACTTTCCTTCCTTTAATAAATCAATCTTCCAGCATACAAATCTTACATCAGTTCTATAAGTAGCAGCACCCGATATTACGCATTGGAAAGCGAAAGGGGCACTGGTTTCCTTTCATATGATATCATCAATTGGGTTTTGTGTGTGGGTAAAAACAAACCTTATCAGACCGTGTGTAATGTGTCTTTTGAGAAATGTGAACATTAATCAGTTAATTGACATTATCTATTTGTTTTTGATTTGTAATAAATCAGGTTTTGGGCGAACCAATGTAAACCCCCTGCCCCTTCTTTTGCTCTTTTCAGATTGTTGGCATCCTGCTGATCGTCCTGGGATCGATCATGCTGGCCGACATCGGTCGCATTGATGGCTATGGTGCGGTGGAGAGCACAAACACAATTCCCATTTGCATCACGGTGCTGGGAGGTCTGATCTTTATTGTCTCCTTCTTCGGCTGCTATGGCCTGTTCCGGCAGAGCGCCTGCATGACGGGAGCGGTAAGTACAGCCTCTCGATTATGTCTTACCTTCATTTAACCCAACTCTAATTCTGCAGTACACCAGCATGATCTTTGTGCTGTTTATCCTTCAACTGGTGCTCACCTGCTGGGTGTTTGTCAATCGATCGGCCTTCCTGCAGGACATGGGCAGACTGGTCACTTCGCTGTGGAATAACAATGACTACGATGCCTTCGGTGTGCTGGAGGTAACCTTCGGCTGCTGTGGCAACACTGGCTACATCGAGTACGGTAGTCAGACGGTGCCCGGCACGTGCTGCGGCTACTCCAGTCGCCAGGCCGCCTGCCCATTCTCCATCTACTCGTCAAAGCCCGGCTGCAATGGCGAGTTTGTGGACTTCTGGTACGACAACATGGACATCATTCGCTGGTCCGGCCTGGGCATTGTCATCTTTGAGCTGTTGGTCTTCATCTTTGCCGGCGCGCTGACCAATTGCATGCGTCAGGAGAACGCAGGCAGACAAGTGTCCGCTTAGACAGGAGGATAAACAGATTGCCATTAAATGTACACAAAGAAATAAATAAATATAATAATAAAGTATTACCCACAGCGATAAGAGAACTCTCTCTCGAGAGAGTTTCGCTCAAGTGCGGCTCTTGGCTCAGTTGCCACAGGAATCTCTCCTAGAAAATTCTGCAGCAATGGATCGTAGTGCACACACAGACTTAAGAGATTGCTGTCTATCTTCAATGTATTATTACTGGTAGGAATGATTTTAAATCGATCCTTAGACATTCCAAAGTAAATTCAAATGGGTGTCAATATTATCAAGTTTTCCAGTGTTATGGTCATCGGTTTTGAGGTATTTCCTAAGCAACTCCCATCCAATCTGATTGGCTACTTATGCCTTGATTTTCCTTTGCAGTTTGTTGCATTCTCAATGGGTTGCTATGTGGCGGATGCTGTTCGCATTGCTGAGAGAATTCAATATATGCCAATACAATAGGCAGGAATCAGGAATATCATCTGATTTATTAAATGTACTAAAACTTGTGCTTTGCTTTGCTTACAAAATTGTGCATGGCTTTTATTTTGTTTACATGTACAACAGCATTCGGCACACACACACATGCTTTCGTGCGTTTGTGTGCACACATAACAGAAACGAAGCCAAAAACGTTTCTTGCTTCTATGCCGCCGCGCGCAGCCGATAAATATTGCAGAGATCTTTCTCTGCCGCTGCGCGCAGCCTATCAATTCATGCCATACGAAGCTGGTTCCTCTGCCGCTGCATCGATTTCACGAAGCCACACGAAGCTTTTGAGCTGTGCATGCGCCGACTGCGCTGCTCGAGATCTTTTTCTCGCTCTTGAGTTCTTTTTCCATGCACATAGCCAACGAAGCTGCCGACCCAGAGCAGACGCTGCAACGTTCAATGCACATCTAATGCAAAGTATGTAATGTATTTAAGTTAATGTACATTATGTATGTAGGTAGCATCACCGCAATAAACTGCAACATACTTTTGGGTAGATGCTTTTGCCTAAACTTTATCGCACTTCTCTTATCTTTAATGAAAGCTTTCGGCAAATGCGATTCTCGCCCATAAAGAATAGGCCTGCGTTGAGCTTTTTCAGTAACGGCCGGACCTGAAAAACGAACGAATTAGTTTCCATTGTTAAACCTTTCATTTGCATTGAACTAATACTACAGGAAATATCAAACAACAATTACAGCAATGGATTGCGGCGGTGTTTTTGTGAAATATGTGCTATTCATATTCAATATTCTGTTTGTGGTAAGAAATAAATACATTTTCCAAGTGCTTCGCTTGCTGTGGTGCAAACTCCCCGGAGTCCAATATCTTATCGCACATAATATGTACAAAGACAAATTAAATCTTCAACATGAGCCTGTTTGCGTTTGCCCCACCCTGGATAGCCAGTTATCTTATCTGCTTCTATATCGAAGGTACTGGAGGCTAAAAAATTGCTTAAAAAACGTAGAATACCTTTAAATAAATCATCGCATGCCAATGATGAACGTAATTACGGTTAATGGGGCCGCAACAGATGTCACGAAAAAACATTGTACCCAGCAATGATAACGGTGGCGCGCCGGGGGTGGCATGACTAATACTCGCACTCCGTATATGCCCGATTGTAGATAGCCCTAGAGGAGCTATTCTCCACACACAGATGCAAACAGAAAAAAAGCACCGAGTGCATTCCCTTTACGTGACGAAATATATGCCCAGTACAGTAACGGTCATACTTGAGTGAAGCTGCTCGACACAAACAAGTCGAGTACTACGACCACAAAATACACTTTCTTTTCGCACTCGAAAAAAGTAAGAAAACTCACACAAGTGTCACTGGTTTGTAGATAATTGTTTTAACACCATTATTCATTTACTTACAATTGGAGGTGCGACTGTTGTTATACAACTAATTTTAGCTGTCGATTGATTCATAGCCTGCTGCGGTGACTGTTTATCAACTAGATTGACTAAGCAAAACAATTTGCACCTTTTTTATTTGCAGATATGTGGCATTCTACTCATCACATTCGGGTCCATTATGGTCTCCACCATCAAAGACTTTTCGAGCATGGATGAGACCTTCACAGCGAACAGTGTGGCCATCATAATCCTGGTCCTGGGCTGCATCATCTTCCTCGTTGCATTCATGGGTTGCTGCGGTGCCATACGCGAGGATGCCTGCTGCCTGACCACGGTAAGTGGAAAGATCTTTAATGAAAACAAAGGAAATTTAACCAACCTCTTTGCAGTACTCGAGTGTGATGATGGTGCTGCTCATCAGTCAATTGGTTTTGATCATTTACGTGTGGGTGGATCATGTTCAGATCCAGCAATCTCTGGAGAAAATTGTGCAGACCATTTGGGATCAGCGCAAAACGGACAGCATTCTCCTGGACACCATGCAGCGTACCGTATGTTTTGTTTAGTGTTTAGTGATCTCCATTGTATGCCTAATTTGCATATTTATTATGTTTGCAGTTCAAGTGCTGCGGTCTGCATAGATTCGCAGATTATGGTACCTCCTACCCAGCTTCCTGCTGCGATTCACCTACCAATGGCAGCTGTACCCTAATGTCGGTCATGACGCGCCCTGGCTGCCTGGATGCGGTTGACTCGTTCTGGGACACCAACGTGAACATCATCAAGTACGCCGGCCTTGGCGTCACCGCCGTTGAGGTAAGTTATCCTTGTCCTTATAATCATATTCCAATGATTCAATGATACGAATATTTGGACTTTTCACAGCTTGTGGCCTTTATATTTGCTTGCTGCCTGGCCAATCAAACACGCAACTCCCAGAGACGCCAGAACTATTAAGCTCCAAAGTTATTAGCTGTTAAGAAACATCTCCTGTTGAAATATTTCAAGATTTAAATAAAACGAAAACTTCCGTGAACTCACGTAAAAAGAAGTACAGTTAAATATTGTGAGATTCTGCCGTTGATTCTGATTCGGCCTCGGGATATCAATCTAATTGAGCAAGAGGCATGAAATGCGCAACATTCCAGTGGCATTGGGGAGAAGAAACCTTCTTCTTGTAAACAGCACAATAAAAGGAAGTCGTTAAAGATAGCCAATCCTATGGAGAATTGATTCGTCAATTGGATAAAATTCTAGTTTTAGCTCTGAGAATCCATGCTAGCTGATAATATTCATTAGAATATCAAAATCAAGGAAAATGATTTACGACTCGGTATATTTTGGTATATTTCTAAGTATCAAGGGTATATTTAATCGGTAGCTCCGCTAGGGCTGTCAAAAAAGTATCATATTGGTGATATATTTTGCTTGGAAAAAATATCAAAATGATATAAATTATATCACTGCAAAAATATCGATATATTGATACAGTTTTGACAACCCTAGTCTGTCCATTTTGTATACTTTATCGATATTTCCGCGGTCACACTGGCCGTTGTCGTATTTTTACCGTTGGCTCGAACGTATCGTGTGCGCGCTTAATAATTTTTTAAAACCAAAGGTAACAGCAGACTTGCGCTATTTTGAATAAAATGTGGTGTTATGTGTCGGCATTTTATGGTTGATTGGGTTTGGAAAACAGAAATGCATAGAGTTTTCTCCGCTTACCGCGACAGCTGCATGGAACAGGAAGAGATGCTGGGCACCGATGCCAATGAAAGGTGGTTGTTGTGTCGCAGCAGTGTATGTGTGTGTGTGTGTGTGCGAGTTTGCTTGGGTTGGGGGAGGTTGAAAAACGAGAGATGCCGAGACCGTACTACGTCGCTACCGAAAGTGCTGTGAAGTGTGTCTGGGTGGGGAGAGGCGCGGGAAACTTGTGTGTGAAAAGCGGAAGAAAATTGTATGAAATTAAAACAACAATACGGCGGCATTGTGCCTCTTGTTTTCTGATGATGCAGAGTGCACTGAACTTTTTTCCTCTCGTTTTCCTCTCTAGCACCATTGACGCCTGCCTTTGTCGGTTCTCCTTCTTCTCCTTCTACTGCCTATTCTCATACTTATACTTGTTGTTCAAAAAGTTGCATTCTGTATTATTTTCTTTTGTTGGCCGCTTGCAACTCGTTCGGAAGGACGTAAGAAAGGAAAAGAGAAAGATAATGATGCTTCAACACAATGGATGCTTCGAGGGCAGAGAAGAGCCCCTTATCTGTGTGGAAATGCGACCTTTGTATATTCCGCTTCAAGACCTCTGTCTCTGTCTCTCTTTGGTACATTCTGATTAGTTTTTCAAGCAAATGCACATACGGTTGAAATCTTGAATGAAGCACCACCAGCCGCAGTAAAGTAAAGTAAATACTTTGTTCCGGGGAATTAAGCCACAATAAAAGTTTTTTTAATTTAACAATTAAAATGTAGACATTAAAGCGAACATATGCGCTGGCATTCATTTACAGTTGAATAAACAACGAATATTAGCAATTATTTTATATAACCGTAGCTTAATTTGATAATTGGCACAACACGAACATTGTTTAAATGAATTTGATTCCAATTGCAGGTGAATTTCAGATAAAACTCCCATCAAAATGGACTGCGGAACATCTCTGGCCAAATACATACTCTTCATATTCAATACCATTGTGTCGGTGAGTACTACTACTACTACTACTACTTCCAAAGCGAAACATAAAACGAAAACGAAGCTCTAAACAGAAACCCCAAAACGAAAACGAAAACGAAACCGGTACAAACAAGCTTGCAAGCCATGCTGCCAGGGGGAGACAAACTGTTACCTAAACGCCGTCTGTTGAAATACGAATGCAAATACAACAAAAATTTGGTGAAATTTATTCAATATTATGGCAATATGTATGCAATATGCATATTAAAAGCGCACTTCCAGCGTTACGGCAGACGCTCCTGAATCCGAACCCGAAACACCTTGAGTATTCCGCACATATTTGGGTTTCGTTTCTGGGAAATATCAACACAGAGAACAACGCTTTCAGTTCAAGTTCTCCTCGTGACTGTCTTATTTGTGTGGCTATTGAAGTTTTGATGACATCATCACCTTCCGTTCAGCTTCCAGTGCCGTCACACAAAACTGGAATTTCGCATTTATCTTTTTGCTAAGGCGAGCAAACTAAAAGCGAGATTATTCCCCCAGCAAAGGAGTCGCCTTGCCATTCCTTTCCATTCCATTTGTTTGTTTTCTGTTTGTTTGTGTGGGCATAGTAATCGCAGAGTTTGCAGATTCCTGTAATTCAAGCATATATTTTGATTGGCGTCAAACGTCGCTTGATCTGTTCTCTGATGTCATGGGATTGGGATGTATGCGAATGTAATGATTCACCCTCGCACTCGTACGAGTTTCCCCCTCTGTTATTGTCGACCTCCTGGATCTGCGGCCTTAAGCTGAAATGTGTGCTCAAAATAATAAACATATTAAACTCAACGATAAGCAAACACACAAATTTGTGAATATTTAGTATTCGTTGTGGGCTCGCAAAAATTAACGCCCCGTGAATCACAAAAACTCAGAAACTCAGAAAAAAAACCGAAGTGAAACAACAAAATGCCTGTGTACCCAAGAGCGTAAGTGAGACAGAAACCGATCACAAAAGGAAGACGAAAAAGGAGAAACGAGCAACACACACAGAACAACAACAACAAAACTTGTTGCTCTAGAGCAGCCAGCAAAGAAAAAACAACAAGAAAAAGAGAACAAGAAGAACAAGAACAAAAAGAACAAGAACAAAAAGAACAATCAACTGGTTGCTGGCAGTTTTTGTTGTTGTTTTTTGTTTTAGTTTCTGTTTCCCTACTCTACTCTACATTTACACTTGCAAAGAAACTCCGCGGGGATACACACTCCCAGTGCAAGTCTGTCTGACTGTGTCTGTGCCTGTGTGTGTGTGTGCAGGTATCTGCCTTATTCGAGCACATAACACACCTGACAGACAGCCGGACCAAGTAATTAGCAGGCAAAGCCAAAGCCAAGCCAGGCCAGACCGGGCCGCCTCTGTTGGAGAGCCAACAAATAAAACCCACACCAACATTGACCCCGCAACGCTTGGGGGGACAGCAAAAACCATAGCAACAAGCACTACGCGTTGTATCAACAAGAGCTTAATACATTTTGCAGCAAAAGCCTGACAAATATTTAAAGCCAGCCCGAACTGAAGACACCCTGGAATGTGCCTCAAAGATTTGGCAATTATTTGGGGAAGAATTCAGAAAAGAAGTGCGGACATGAGCTGTCGGTGAAACAAAGGAAACGAACATCAAAATTCCTGCCTGTTGCAAATAACCGAACAAATACCAAACATTAGAGGAAAAACCAAGCACAAAACATGGCTATGACTATGACAATGACTGTACTGCTGTGGAATGAAAATGGTTTCTGTGTAAATAGCCCCCACAGTTTCAAGTTTTTGTATTCTCCGCACGTTTGTGGGCTACAAATCGAGTGCGAGTTAGAGGCAACCCAACGACAATTGCAGCCGTGGCTAATGACAAACCTGAACCGAACTGAACTGTGTCTGGCAGCGGGGCCATGCTATTAGATGCAACACTCAGCTCAGCGCAGCTCAGCTCCAAGTTCTCGGTAATTGTTGCTGCTGTAAGGGAAACTCAACGAAAAAGTTAAGTACAGGCACGGCGAAAATACGCATGGATTATGAATGAATCGCAGATACAACTAAATAAATAATTTGTTGCCGAAAGTTGGGCAGGGCACAAGAGACAGAAGTTTGTTTTTGTCTGCCAATTGCATGTCGCGGGTAGTTTAGTTCTTAATTGTCATCTTTCAATTACACGTTCTACGCACGCATATCTCTCCTATCTTCGCACTCTTTATCCATGCTCCCATCTCTGTAACTTGCGATGGACACAGCAGATACAATTTGGCGCCAAACAACGCAGTTTGCCAGAGTTCTGGGTGTGGCCCAACCCTCCATAAATATATATCCATCTCTTTATTGCAGCAAGCTAACTTTTTGCCAACTGCTTTTATGATTGTTTTGGAGGGTTGTTTTCTGGCTCACACTCTCGCCTAATGATCCACAGGACCCTTGGTATTTGGTGGAATAAAAATAATTTGCATTCCATTTTCATTTCCGTCTGACGTCATTGAGGCTGCCTGCCTGTCGCTGGCAGCTTTCTGTGGAATGTGGCACACAACATTGTCTCTCGGCCATTTTGATATGAATTGTGTAATGTCCTCGTTAGCGGCGCAAACAACGGGGCTAAGTAAAAGTTGGAAGCGGAAAAAGCAAAAGCCCCACAAAACGGGTTCCAAGTCGCGGCAAAACTCTCTTCATTTCTTCTTGTCTCTCGTGATTAGTGTAGATAAAGTGGCACACTTTGTTGTTTTAAATACGAGCACTACAATGGCGTTTATTTTTGGGTCAATTTTGACATGAAATCATTCATAGGCCGCCCACAAAGATCTCTGTGCGCTCTCCAGTTCTAAATGAGTGCAAATTGAAGCAGAAGCAGAGGCATTGCCCACACGCTACAGATACAGATACAGATACAGATACAGCACACAGTATGGCTACAGATGTTGCTTGTATATGCATCATGAAATCAAGTAAATTCAATTAATGCCCGCAACAATCGGTTGGGGCGTTGAGAGAGAGAGAGAGAGAGAGAGAGAGAGAGAGAGAGAGAGAGTGCAGTGTCTGCTCTCTCTCCTCAAATTGCAGATGTGAAGCTCTAAGCAGCAGCATTGTCATGTGCGAATGTCACATGTGAAAGATCTGTAGGTTGTGGGTGCGCTCTGTAGGTGGACACCCTCATTCATCTCTGTTCTCCACTTATCTGATCTCTGATCTCTTATCTCCACATCTCTGCATAACTTTTGTTTGCCTGCAAATAACTACAATTCAAAGGTCCAACTTTCTAGAGCAAACTTCCTCGTATTACGTAACGCGTTGACTTTATTTTTATTTTTTAATTATAATTAGTTATCCGGCGG